AATCAAAGCCAGAGGCTACAGGAGTTATCAGTAGCAGTCAGGAGCTTTGGAATTGAGGTTTCAGCAGGGAATTGGGGGTTCAGGATTTCTAAGGGACAGAGACTGCACCAACTGACCACTTGGGTTTTACAGTAGTCAGTACAAGGGGAAAATGAAACAAATTGTGTATCGAGGTGTTAAGTCCTTCTAAACCAAACTGTTCCAAGATAAGGAGAACTGCATTGGAAAGTAGTAGGATCCCCATCACAACAGAGTGTTCAGACACTGGTGAGGAGTCAGGGTATTTGGAAGGGGATTCAAACTTAAAGTGAATGAGATTTAGTACTATACTAGAGATACTGGACAACACAGTAAGACAAGAAAAGAAATGAAAGGTATGAAGGATTGGAAAGAAAGAGACAAATCAGTTTTGTTTGTTTTTGTTCCCACAGAGGAAATTATTGTTCAGAGAAATTCAGAGATTCACCAGATAAATTATTAGAATTAATGTTATTTTAACAAGGTTGATAGATACAAAAATAGCATAACAGTTAATGCATTTCTATACATAAAACCACAAAATCAGGAAGTCTAATACTTTTTAAAAGATATCATTTACAGTAACATCCAAAATGTGAAGTACCTAGGAATAAATTTAATAAAATATTTATAAAATATTTGCATAAAATTATAAAAATGTTTGAAAACATTAAAGGAAAAAGCCTTAATTAGTGAAAGAGATAAGATCAATGGATTAGAAGGCTCAATATTGTAAAGTTGTCAATTCTCCTCAAACTGATATATAGATTCAATGCAATTCCAATAAAAATCCCAACAGGTTTTTTGTGGAACTTGACAAGCTGATTCTAAAATATATATGGAGGAGAAAAGATTCAAGAATAGCCAAGACATTCCTGAAGAAGAAGAACAAGGTGAGGAGACCTGCCTTACCAGATATAAAGAATTATTATAAAGTTTAGTAAGTAAGACAGTTTTGTATTGGCACTGGAATAAATGGATTGACCAGCAGAATAAAATAGAGAACTCAGAAGCAGATTCATGTGTAAAGGAAAACATATTGGTGACAAATGCTCTTGTAGTTTCACAGGGGGAGAGGAGGGTCTTTACAGGAAACAGTGCTCAGACAACTGGGTGAACCCCATAGGGATAAATGAAATTGAATTCTTGTCTCATACCAAAAATCTATCCCAGTTGATGTAAACACTGAAATTTAAAGGACAAAATGTGGAGACAGTAATGTAGGAAAATATACCTTGATCTCACATAGGAAAGCATTCTTAAGATTTAAAATGTTTATAAGGGGAAAGGTTGATCAACTTGACTACATTAAAATGCAGAACTTCTCTTTATAAATAAATAACATAAAATGAAAGGACAGGCCACAGACTTGGTAAAAAAAAAAAAATACTTGTAACACTTACAACTGATAATAGAATGAGTATCCAGAACACATAAAGAACTCCCTACAAATTTGTAAGAAACAATCGAGTAGAAAAATGGGGAAACCCTCAACTAGGTTCTTCACAGAAGAGGAAAGACCAGTAAACTCTGAAAAGATGGTTAATAATTAATAATAATCAGAAAAATGTAAATTAAACCTGTATTGATACATTTAAAGTCTGATAATAGCAAGTGTTGGTGAGGATACATAACAGCTAGAACACTTCACATTGCTGGTGGGAGTGTGAATTGGTATACCTACTTTGAAAAACTATTTGGCCTCTTCTGGTAAGGTTACTCATACTCATATCTAAAACTCATGTGCATGTGCATGAGGAAACACAGTGCTCAAAGCAGATTGTTAACTGTAAACAACCCAAATATTCATCACTAGGAGAACTGAAAAATAAATGTTGGTATGGACTAAATATGAAGGACTACCAAGTAGTTAAAATGAATGAACTTCCACTACATGGAACAACCTGAGTGAATCTTAGGAATGTAATGTTGGGCAAAAAAAGCAAGTCACCACTTGATAAGCATTCCATTTTTATTAAAAAAAAAGAAAGAAAAGAAAAAATAGACTGAACAACAAAAAATATATTTTTTACAGATACAGAATGTTTGGGATACAAATAAAGCAAAGGGATAATAAATGCAAAATTCCAAATTTACTTGTGAGAGAAGGAAGAAGACAAGATGAGGAAGGACCTAAAGAGAACGTCTTTCTAAGTTAAATTGGGTGGTGGATATACTTTTTAAAAAGATAAATGTAAAACTTGAAGAAAAAAAATTTTTTTAACTGACATTAAAAAAAAAAAAAAAGCCTTGCATCCAGTAAAAGCTGAAGCAAGGGATGAAATGGTCTTTGATGCCACCTCCTGTCTGTGGAGCATTTAACATCTCAGAGTCTCTGGTTTAGCTGCGTCTGTCCAGCTCTCCAGGCTGGGTTTGTCAGAGTAGAAACTGAAAGAAGTAGGATTCCCCTTGTTTTCATCCTTGACCTCAGCTCTTTAGTGTAACATTTTGCATCTAGCACTTGTTCTCTAAAGGAAACCTTTTGTTTTCTCTTGTCAAACAGTGGCTCCTGTTTCTCCCTAACTTTCCTTTTTGGAGCCTCAGCTGACCTGGAGACCTAACTTTTCTTCATCAAAACTGGGGGAGTTAGGGATGCTGACGGGACTCTTGAGATGTGGTCATTGTCATTACTGACCTTGAGGATTATTTTCAAGAATCTTGTCTCTGCATCTGTTCTACATCATTTTAGACAAGGGATGTACAGGAAAAGTAATGCCTTATGATTAGTCGTGAGGGCTTTTAAAATCTTGTCTCATCCTACCCTGCGTCAAGGTGGAAACCTGTGGAAATCTAGCCTATCTAGTGAAGAGAATGCGAACTGTGGGTGAATTGGGAAATTCCAATCTTCCAGCCCAGGAAACTTTTTTTCCCCTTTAATGTGTTGACAGCACTGGGTCTAAATAAACTGATTTTCTTAGGAAAATAACATGCAGGACCTCTAGGGTTTTAACTGTGAAAAAAAAAAATCTCTTGAGTAAGTGAAGGTAGGTGGACTATGAGACTTTGATGATTCTTGTTATCTTGTGGTCTTTCACCTTAATTTCTCCTACCACTATACTGCTGGTTCCCAGGAAATATATTTGCTCCTTCATAAAAGTCTTGTGTCTGTCTGACAAAATTGATTATTTTTAGGCTCGCATTTCCTCTATTTAATCTTTATTATTATTATTATCCAAGCTAGAAACCTGCAAGCATCCTTCATCCCTGTTTCTTTCTCTCCCCAGCTTACCTTTTGTTCATTCCATCTCTAAATCTAGTAACTGTGTGATGTTTTGCAAATGCAACTATTTCCTTGTGCTGTTGTCTATCTACATTCTATACTTGGCTTCCTCCCAGCCCATTTTCCATGCAGCAGCCAAAGTGGTTCTTTAACATGTAGAATGAACTGCAATTTAAAAACTTTAAATGGTTTCCTCATGCAGTTAAAGTAAAACTCAAACTTACTATTAAAGGACCCACATGGAAATACATGATCTAATCTTGTTAAACTAATGTCCTCCCACTTCCTCTTGCCATTCCCACCAACCACACTTTCTGCCTAACACCCTCATTGATACTTTATTTCCCCACACAAACTAAGCATTCTCCTGCCTCTGGATTATCATCACACATGCTCTTCTCTGTGCCTGGAGCACTGTTTTCCATACTCATCCTTCCTCATAGAGACCTACCCTCAGTCTGTACTGGGATATTTCTTGGGCTTTTGAGTCTTTGTCTAGTAATATTCTGTTCTTTGATTGCATATACCTTGGTATGTAACTTTATATTTGTTTTATTTACTATCCATCTTTCACCCACAAGTTTGCATTGTTCATGAGAGCAAAAGCTGTTTATGTGATTGATTTACCTCTGTACCTAACCTGGTACCTAAGAGGTACACATTATATATTTGTTGAAAGAGTGAATGAAAAGTAACACACGAACCATAATTTACTTAACTATTCCCCTACTGCTGAATACTAAGGTTGTTTTCAGTTTGGGGTCATTCTAAACAATGATTAAGTAATTTGAGCATTGAGATTTTTTTTAGACTAGGATCCAGAGTTGTTAGGTTAAAGAATATGAATATTTTTAAGGCTTGTAAAACATATTTCCGAATCACTTATCAGGAAGGTTGTCTAGGTTATAATTTTAAACTATTTCTTTTTTTTTTTCTTAGTTTTCAATATATAGAACATAGAAAAAGAAAACAGTTCAAATAATAAAGTTTAGCTTTCTACTCCTATAAAACTAATTTATTGAATGCTTATTCTATGCCAGAGATGAGATTATCTTATTTACTCCTTATGTAGCAGATATTATTATCCCAATTTTATGAGAAACTTTGCCCAGTTTGCTCAAGTTCATGCAATCCAGACTATCTTATATCAGGCCACTTATACTTGTTCCATACTTCTCAGTGCCAGCTAATTTACATTTGCTCCAAAACTGCTGCAGATTCCATGTTACATCATCCAAGTCCTCTGCATCCTAACTGCTGCATCCCCGTGAATGCCATCTCACCCACCAGCCTTACCCACATGATGCTAGAGGCTGGGCTGCCATACCTTCTTGTCAGGCCCCTAACCCAGCTGAACATGCAGACCCCTCCTGTGTGGTTTTCTCTTGAAATTCATCTCAACTTTGCATGGTGGTCAGCATAGGTATAAATGGCCCATCCCTTCAGTTATGCCCCCCACTCCTGTATACAGTAGGTGGGGAGGTACCTTTTGATCCAGCATTGTAATAGGCCCCTAACCACATAGAAATCATATAAAGAGCATGTTTATAGTAATGGAAGGGGCATTCAGATGCTAAATAGCTTAGAAGCTATTTAGAAGAGGGGTACACTGTCTTTATTAGGCTGCAGCTATCCATGTGGGCACATTTTTTCTCCCCAAGAAAAGGTATAATTTGCTGCCAGGTCAGAGTATGGTGCAGCAGTTTGCATGTCTGGTGATTATCCCTATGAATAACTCCTGTAATTTCTCTTAACCTTTTAGGCTCTCCCTGCTTGTCCTATCCAGGCCACCTGTGACGCTGCCTCCAAGGAGGAGAACAAGGAAAAAAATCGATACGTAAACATCTTGCCTTGTGAGTGTTTGTAGCATTTTTGGGGATATAAACTGAAACTGCACCTGTAATCGGGTTTTCTGAGGATGGAAAGAATCTGGTGATTGATCATGGGAAGACTAGTAATAAGAATAGAGTGACATTATCAGAGAAATGCAAATCAAAACCACAATGAGGTACCATTACACGCCAATCAGGATGGCTGCTATCCAAAAGTCTACAAGCAATAAATGCTGGAGAGGGTGTGGAGGAAAGGGAACCCTCTTACACTGTTGGTGGGAATGCAAACTAGTACAGCCACTATGGAGAACAGTGTGGAGATTCCTTAAAAAACTGGAAATAGAACTGCCATATGACCCAGCAATCCCATTCCTGGGCATACACACTGAGGAAACCAGATCTGAAAGAGACACGTGCACCCCAATGTTCATCACAGCACTGTTTTTAATAGCCAGGACATGGAAGCAACCTAGATGCCCATCAGCAGACGAATGGGTAAGAAAGCGGTGGTACATATACACCATGGAATATTACTCAGCCATTAAAAAGAATACATTTGAATCAGTTCTAATGAGATGGATGAAACTGGAGCCCATTATACAGAGTGAAGTAAGCCAGAAAGATGAACACCAATATAGTATACTAATGCATGTATATGGAATTTAAAAAGATGGTAACCATAACCCTATATGCAAGACAGAAAAAGAGACACAGATGTGTAGAACAGACTCTTGGACTCTGTGGGAGAAGGCGAGGGTAGGATGTTCTGAGAGAATAGCATTGAAACAAGTATACTATCAAGTGTGAAACAGATCACCAGCCCAGGTTGGATGCATGAGACAAGTGCTCAGGGCTGGTGCACTGGGAAGACCCAGAGAGATGGGATGGGGAGGGAGGCGGGAGGGGGGATGGGGATGGGGAACACATGTAAATCCATGGCTGATTCATGTCAATGTATGGCAAAAACCACTACAATATTGTAAAGTAATTAGCCTCCAACTAATTTAAAAAAAAAAGAATAGAGTGAAAACTTTGGGTAATAAGAATAGAGTGAAAGAGCCTTTATGGTTCCCCAGGCGCTTATCAAGTCAGTTGGGGTATTTAACCAGGTTTTTTGTGGCAGGCCTAAAGTTTCTAGTTAAAGAGAACAATTTCACTAAGACCAGATAGGAGGTGCGTGGTTGTTGTGGAGCTTTTTGTTGCTTATTGCAAAGAAATTCCAATTTAGAGTTCTCTTCATAACTCCTTCCCAGAGTTAGTCATTATGAATCTGTTTATCTATAACTTAATGGGCATTTTTCTAGGCTCGTGGCCTCCAGAATAGAATATGCATAATCCAGTGGGATGCGAGCAAAATGTTTGAACTTTGCTTTATTTTTATAATTGCCTTTTTTAAAATTCATCCTTATAAAAATTCCTGGTGTATTTTTGGGTGCATAATAAGAGACCACTGTACTAGCCATTTACAGGTACTTTTGTCATCTTATTTGTGTATAAATGTGTATATATTTTTTAATATAACTGGTATGCTGTATACATTGCTCTTAGAAAATTAGAGAAAAATAAATACTGTATGATTTCACTCATGTGAAATCTAAAAAAACAAACACAAGCTCGTAGATTCTGAGAACAGATTATTGGTTATCTAAGGGGAAGGGGGTTGAATGTGGGTGAAATGGATGAAAGAGAGGGGCTTATCGCATGGTCATGGATGGTAGCTAGACTTGTGGTAATCACTGTAGTCGTTACAGATGTTGAATTATGTTGTGTACCTGAAACGACTATAATATAAAGAAATATAAAATAAAAACAAAGCTAATACATTGGCAATTGTCAAGAAACAGGAATATTCACTTTTCCTTTTTATCATCTGCTTACTATTCCATATTATGGATATATCTTAGTTTATTTAACTTAGTCCCATAATGATGGTTGAGGTATGTTTGAATTTTTGCTATAATAGTACTTCAGTGACAGCTTATACAGGTGTGTGTTCTACATCGTCACAACTGGCCTGGTTGCATTGGGACCAGTGAAAAATAAAATTGAATTTAATTGAAAAAAAATTTTTTTTTCCTAGATGACCACTCTCGAGTCCATCTGACACCAGTTGAAGGAGTTCCAGATTCTGATTACATCAATGCTTCATTCATCAATGTAAGAAACTTTAAGTTTTTGTCATTATTACCTCGACTGACCATTGGCTCTAAGAGATTGGTAAAAAATTTTTTTAAAGATCAAGCAGATAGTTTAAAATGTATTCTTATGTTTACCTGTCATCATCATCAGAATTTTCCCATGCAGAAATCAGAACCTAAATGTATACATCACGGTAGGAGTGAGTGAATCCTTTATTGAGCTTATTCAGATAACTTAAGAACAGAATCACACCTTGCCATCTACAGTAAAAGTAGGGAAACAGGACAAGGATATCTGTCTCCAGATAAGTCTGGTCCGTCGTGTCTACTTCGAGAGAAGAGCTAAAATTGGAAGGAGGTTTTTAGGGTGATTTAGAGAATGTTTATAGAGATGGTATGAGAGATGTGAGTATATTTTATGGGCTCACAGGAAGGAATCAGTAAAGAGGGAGTTTGAAAAAAAGAGAGAAAGTAAGCAAGAGAGCTAAAAAGAGCAAGCCTGACTACTGAAGCATGAAGAGAATATTGATGAAATTTGTACACCCATGTTCATAACAGCATTAATCACAATAGCTAAAAGGTGATTGCGGCCCAAGTGTCCATCAGTGGAAGAATGAATAGGTAAAATGTGGTATACACATATAATGGGATATCATTTAGCCTTAGAAAGGGAAGAAATTCTGACATATACTACAGCATGGATGAACTTGGAAGACATTATGGTAAGTGAAATAAGCCAGTCACAAAAGGATAAATAATTTCTAATTCTACTTATGTGAGGTAGCTGGAGTAGTCAAATTCGTAAAGACAAAAAGTAGAATGGTGGTTGCCAGGGACTAGAGGGAGAGGGGAACAGGAAATAATAATTTAATGGGTATAGAGTTTAGGAAGGTGAAAATGTTTTGGAGATGGATGGTGGTGATGGTTGACCAGCAATGTGAATAAACTTATTTATTCAGAACTGTACACTTAGAAATGGCTGCAATGATCAGTTTTATGTTGTATATATTTTACCACAGTGTTTTTTTTTTTTTTAAAGCTGATAGATTAGCGTTGAACATAAAAAAGGATGTTTTTCCTCTGAATTTGCTGGTAAAGGAATATAGAATAGATAGAGTTGGTTTGTAGGTGTGAATAAATCAAGCTGAAAGAACTCATCTGTTTTTTCTGAGAAGTAAAGTCAAGGTTATCTGCTGAAAAGGGGGGGGTGGAACTGTGACATAAAAGTACTGAGATCAATAAGAAAGAACACTGAAAAGGGCATGGAGAAAAGGCATGTTTAGCTGCACTGAGCACCTACCTAAGATGGAAATCATTGATGTATAAGAGCCTCAGTTGTGTAATTTTCTCCAGTTGTACCTAGGATTGGTGATATGCAGAAAACATTTGGTAACTCAGATAAAAGGACTAGAGAAGTCAGTTGCTGCTTTAAGTAAGGGCTTAAAGCAGCTAAGGGCTTCAGGTTCAGTGGAGAAAGGAAGGGATGAAGGATGAGGTTTCAACAAATTGAAAGAACAGTCTTGGGATAAAAAAGGAGAAAGGTGGAAGAAAAGAGGCTGTGGCTAAAAAATAGATTATCAGATGGAGTTCAGAAATGGAGCAGTGCAGGCATCCTCACTAGAGTGGATTTGCTGAAATTCCTGTATATATGTTTCATAGGGATGGTCATATGTTTATAGTTGGAAGGAAAGGAACTCTGTGAGAAATGATTGCTGTGGTAGATAAGGAAAATGGAAAAAGGCTAGTAACCAGCTAAGATTCTCAGAATTTAGATCAACGATTATGATGAACAGGTAAGGAGGAATAGATTGAGTTTAATGTTATATGGAAGAGTATAGCAGTATTAGTCAAAATGTTTCCATCTTCAGTTAACAGAATACTCAACTAAAATTGGTCTGGACAGAAACATTTACTTCTCATATAATCTGAAAGCAAATACACAGCAGTTCCAGGGTTGGCTGAGTCTGTGACTCAGTGACATCCTTAAGAAACCAGGTGTTTCCATCTTTCTACTCAGATGTCTTCATCCTGTTGGCAGTGTCTCTTGGTCACAAGATGGCCGTAGCAGTTCCATACATTTCTTACACACACAACAAGCAACACAGAGGAGGAGGTGGTGGAGAATTTGTACATATGCTTTTCTCTTTATTCAGGAGCATGATCTTTCTCAGAAGCCTGTCTAGTACAGTGCCCTTTAGAGCCAACAGGCCACCATCGGATCACATGCTTACACCCTCTCTCTAATCACTGGCTAAGGCATTGAGAATTTTCTTGATTTACCCTTCTGGGGCTGAGGAATTGTCATCTTCCAGGCCAGTAAAAGGTAAATGTCCGAACAAAAGCATGGTTTTGATGACAAGGAAGAATGACGAGGAATAGCTTTTGAGTTAGTAATCAGCAGTGTCTGTCACTGTAACCAGTTTGGATCCTTCCCACATTGAAGGTGAAGACAGACAAAAGTAAGTTGGATGTGAAGACTGGTAAGCAAGTAAGGTGGGTCTGTTCATGGTCATAATAAGCAGGGTACTAAAAGGAAACATGCCTTCTGCTTTGGCCATGCTTAATTGGAGCTCACAGTAGGGCATCCTATAATGCCATGGTGTTTATTGGAGGTTATTAATAGGTGAAATGAAAGTTTAGATGAAGAGGTTAAATTGGGAGGCACTTACAAGTTCAGTGAAAGTAGAAACACAAGAAAAAGCTGTGGTGAACTATGAATAAGAGTAAGGGATTAAAGAAGATTTAGGTTTATTCAATTCAGTCAACATTTTTTGATCACCTTTTGTGTGGTAAGCACTGGGGATAGGCTCAGAGGTTACAGAGGTAGGATGTAGTCCCTAGTGTGATCTACCTACAGGTAGATCATTATCTTTAGTGTGCAACATGTGCAAAGGAGATACTGCCAGATTCTTTGCGACTTAAGAGAAGGAAACATTCAGCCAGCCTGGTGATCCAGTAGAGCTGAATGTTGAAGGGTAAGTCTGTATTCAAGAGAAGAAAGATAGGTAGAAACTTTAAAGCAAAAAGAAAAGTATGAGTAAAGTCAGAGACTGGAAATAGTAGTCTTAGTTATAAGGTACAAAGTGGGAAGGAACGAGGCTTGCGGGATTGGTAGGAGCTCAGTCTCAGAAGGCACTGAATGTTAGCTGTATGTTGGGGTTCTTAGTTTCAGACAAGTGTCAACTTTCTATTCTTTTAAGCAGAAGGGGTTTATTATTAGATACTAGGTAGCTTACAAAATCTGTGGGAGAGTTGCAAGGTGGTGTTCAGTGAGGAACAGAGCAGCCATAGATGTACCCTGCTACCCCATATGACTCTCGGAGTGGAACTCCTGGGCAGGTGCTACAGAAGAACTCAATGCTTCCACTTCCATGCTTGCCCAGAGACTACATTTTCCCAGCACAGACACCATCTCACATTACTCACTTCTATCCTAAGTCTTATGTGGGACTGCTAGGAAGAAACTGAGTTCTTAGGCTGAACAGAGCTGCAAGAGAGTCTGGGGAATTCAGCTTTTAGTTTCTCAGCCTCTATAGAAAGAAGGTCAGGCTGTTAGTGGATGGGACTGGATGCTGATTGAGCTACCTTAAAATATCTGCAAATTTTCAGTACAGCTGAGTTTTGATTCTAGGCAGTGGGATAACACTGAAAGGTGTTAATGACAAGGAGCGACATGGCCACATTTGAATATTGATCACTCAGGTTACTGTATGCAACATGGACTTAGGAAGGGCCAGTTAGACGCTTTATAGTATCAGGCTCTGAATGGTGAGAGTAGAAGGGTTGGAGAAGACTTATCAAAGTAAAAACCACTTTGGAGGTAGAATTTAGTAGGACATGGTGATCGATTATATATGAGAGAGTATAGGGTGATACTCTGTAGAATATATTGACCTGAGCTGGAGGAGACACCTGAACATGTGAAATCCCAGTGCTGGGTAGCCAGGGCTGCATCCACACCTGCCTGACATTGAGCACCCTGGCAGTTGCAATCCTGCTCATCCACCACCTGCTAACACCACCTTTCCTCCAGGCCCCCTTCCCACTCCCCCAGGAGGACCCCAAGGGAATCCAGCTTTTCCCCCTGTGGGCCCTGTCATCCTGTGCCACAACCAGGGTCTTCAGGATGCCAACCTTCAGGTCCCTACCCCTGCCCATACCCATCACCTGCCCCTGGCATGTATCCTGTGAATCCATTGGTTTCTGGCTTGGTAGGACCAGGAATGGTGACAGACAAAAGGATGCAGAAGAAAATGAAGAACACTCATAAAAAGCAGCAGAAACGCCACAAGCATGGCAGGCAACACTCCTCTTCCCCTTCCTCCACTACTAGCCATGACTCTGACTGAATACAGGGCCTGGACCCTTCCTCAAGTCTCTCCAGTTCTGCTTGTCCATCAAGCTTCAGATGCCATCTTGTACTAGGGGAAATTAGCTCTTGTGTCCCTTCCCCTCACCCCCACCATCTGTGCCTCACTCTGCTGTCCAGCCCTTACTGGTTAGGGAAAATGGGAGAAGAATTGTCGTGGGCTAGCAAAGACCATCTTCCTACTGCCTGGATAGAACTTTTAGCTGATGAGTTTTGCAAGAGAAATGTTTTTTGAAGATGGTGAGATTTGAACTAAATGCTGAAGACAAGTCTAAAATCTGTAAAATGTGATTTTTTCACTTTGTTTTGTAATACTTGTGATTGGAGAGATGCTGTGAAAATTTAATTATGGGGAAAGAAAACCAACCTGTACCTTTCTTGTATTAAAAAAAAAAGTATAGGGTGATCCATGTGGATGTACCCAGCATAGTTGGGCATTGATCTGAGCTCAGAGGAGAGATTCCAAAACCATTAGAGACAGAAGAGTAAATCCTAGAGTCCAAAAACCTCTGCCAAGGCACATTGGGCAAGAGGTACTCATGAGTGAGACAGAAGACCAGGAGAAAAAAGCATCTCAGAGGACTAAGAGTAGAGCATGGAGAAGGTGTTCAGTGGGCAGCAGGGTTGAGTGCAGATGAGAGATCCACTGGGAAAGAGGGAGCACATGTGCTGTGGACTGCTGTCTAGCAGCCTTTGCTGAAGCACATTGAGGCCATTTGTTGTGGGCTGCCAGTTACACTTACCAGAACCTATTTTTTCTCCCAGCATGACTGAGGTGTATAAGGTAAGTTTATATAAACTATATCTCAATCATGTTGGGAGAAAAAATAGGGTTTGGTAAGTGTTATATAACAGTAATTCAGACATTTAAAACAATAGAGTTCCTTGAATTTTAGTAAGTTTACCAAGTTAATGCTTCCATTGCATGCTGAGTTGCTTTAGTCGTGTCTGACTCTATGTGACCCTGTGGACTGTAGCCTGCCAGGCCGCTTTCTCCATGGGATTTCCCAGGCAAGAATACTGGAGTTGGTTGCCATTTCCTTCTCCAGGGGATCTTCCTGACCCAGGGATCAAACCCACATCTTTTAGGTCTCCTGTGTTGGCAGGCAGCCTCTTTACCACACACCACCCAGGATGGCTTTATTGATGTAATTCACATTCCATAACTTTCATCCACTTCAAGTTTACAATTCACTGGTTTTAGTCTGTTCCAGATATGTGCAGCAGTGACCAATTTTAGAACATTTTCATCACCTCAGAAGAGAAATGCTGTACCTCTTAGCTATTGCCTCTTAGTTTTAGAACTTTTGCTTACCCCAAAAAGAACCTTCTTATCAATATACAGTTACTCCCCATTCCCAGTCCTGGCAATCACTTCCGAGCCCTTTGTGCACACAAGAGAACCCAGGTCACATGTGAACCTTAAAGAGAAGTGGTGTCAGGTACCAGGCAATGATGGCAGCAGTTGGGGAGGGGTTGGGACCTGTGGTTTAGAGACTACAAAGGTCCAGAGTGAACCTGACATTGTTAACAAGAGAAGGTGAAATAGACAGTGGAATAGGTGGCAGCTGGGCTTCCCGCCTGAAGTCTTAGGAGAGACCAGTTTCCTCACTCTTAGGTGTCTTCAGAGTATTCAGAGGATTTTTAGAAGTGTTTTGTTTTTGTTTTTAAACTGGTAGAAATGTAGATGCCACGTGGAGCCAACTTGGCATTTGACTTTCAGAATCCAAAGATGTCTCAGGAACTCGGGAGCCACATTTCTTCTTTCCCTTGAACATAACACAGGGAAGATCAGTAGTTTGGCCTCATTCTAGTTTTACTTATTGGTTAAGCAATGTCACCATATCATTATGTAGGCATGTTTTCATGGGGGATGTATAGCACACTCCTAATGAAGATGGAGCTGGAAGCACTTGGGGGCTGGGCCCTCCAACTGTGCTTTTAAGCTATTCATGACCCACACACTCCAGTGAGAATTTGGCAGCTACTTCTCCTGGAGCAGGGATATATTATAGCTTAACATAATCTAAGAACTTCTCGGTTTTAATTACACGTTTAGTGCTGTAACCAAAGTGCAGCATCCTGAATTAAGGTTTTATCAATTTCCATCTTCTAATGATTAAAAACATTTGGAAAATCTTAAATTGCTCTTCTAAATAAAAATTTTAACAAGCTTCTTGTTAACTCTAAACATCTCCATCTTGAGGCCTAAAACTTTCTCCAGTGCTGAGAAGCAGTTCTGCCACTGCCTTGCAGACTTGTATTTCACATCATCATCTTGGTGTGGCATGGTGTCCCATCCATGAAACTGTCTTTCTCATTGCCCATCTTAATGCTGTCTGAAAGAAGCAGAGGTATTTACAATCTTTAAATCAAATAATTTTTTCATTTACCTAGGACTTCTCAAGTGAACACTACATTTAAACAGTGAGGCTGAAAAGGTGTGTGACTAAACAGTAAATGCTGAAAAAGAAAGTTACTGCTAGTGTCAGTTTTTCAGAGGATCCTTCCCTTTTTTTTTTTAACCGAAGGATAATTGCTTTGCAGTATTTCGTGGTTTTCTGTCACACATCAAGAATCAGCCATAGTTATACCCATGTCCCCTCCCTCCTGAACCTCCCTCCCATCTCCCTCCCTGTTCCACCCTTCTAGATTGTCACAGAACCCCTGTTTGAGTTCCCTGAGTCATTCAGTAAATTCCCATTGGCTATCTATTTTATCCCATTGGTATTGTAAATTTCCATGTTACTTTCTATATACATCTTACCCTCTCCCTCCTCCCCTTTCCTCCCCCCATGTCCATAGGTCTGTTCTCTTTCTCCATTGCTGCCCTGAAATAAATTCAACCATACCATCTTTTTAGATTCTATATATATGGGTCAGTATATGATATATAAATCTTATTGAGATATATATATATGATAATATATGATATCTTATTAAGTGATGTCCCCAGGCTGCTTGGCTTGTCTCCCACTTCCTGTAAAGGAGAACCCTGTTGTCAGACACCTGGGAGCTGTTAACCATACCCGTGGACTATTCCCAGAAATCTTCTGCACCTAGGTGAAGCCTCATCAAGCAAAAGACCTTTTATCTTCTTAGTGTGGGCTCAGCCTCACATGCTTCTGACTTGGAAGTTTCCTATCCATTAACACTAAGACTTAGATTGTCAGCAGCTGAGAGAGCATCAGAACAGGATCTAGCCTAGTAGTTGTTATTTGGATGTTCTTATACTAGCGTTCATTAATCATTCACTTTAAGAAGACTGCCTAGACCATGTAAGCTTTGCTTCCTGCTATCTAATTAAAAGATGCTTTTTCCTTGGAAGAAAACCTATGACAAACCTAGACAGCATATTAAAAAGCAGAGACATCATTTTGCCTACAAAGGTCCGTATTTGTCAAAGCTTTGGTTTTTCCAGTAGTCATGTATGGATGTGAGGGTTGGACTATAAAGAAGACTGAGTGCCAAAGAATCAATGCTTTCAAATTGTGGTGCTGGAGAAGACTCTTGAGAGTCCCTTGGACTGCATGGAGATCAAACCAGTCAATCCTAAAGAAAATCAATCCTGGATATTCATTTGAAGGACTGATATTGAAACTCCAATCCTTTGACCATGTGATGTGAAGAGCTGAGTCAATGGAGAAGACCCTGATTCTGGGAAAGATTGAAAGCAAAAGGAGAAGGGGCAGCAGAGGATTAGATAGTTAGATGGCATCACCAACTCATCGGACATGAGTTTAAGCAAACTCCGGGAGATAGTGGAGGACAGAGGAGCCTGGCGCTGCAGTCCATGAGGTTGCAAAGAGTTGGACATGACTTAGCAACTAAACAACAACAACATCTAAAGTTTGATGTTTCAAACATCAATACCTTGAAAATTTCAAGAATGGAAATTCTGGTTAATTGCCCGGACCTTTTCACAAGGGAGGCTTTGTAAACTGGTTGGGAGTCTGGGCAATTTCATTCTTATCCATTTTTGGGTTTTCACTTTCTTTCTCTCCTCTATTTCCCCCCACCCCACTCCCAGGGCTACCAGGAAAAGAACAAATTCATTGCTGCACAAGGTAAAATAAGATAATTTTTTTACTCTTGGGTTTAACCATGAATGGGCTTGGGTTTTTTCTTCCACATGCTAAATAGATTACACAGAATGTATTAGCTTTTCTGTAATTACTACCACCTGAGAGAAAAGCAATCTACCTTGCAGGTTTGTAACTAAGGAGCTTCATCTTGATGACTTAGTGCCCAGGGATCCTATGAAATAAAACACACACACACACACACACACACACACACACACACACACACACACACACACACACACACACACACACACACACACACACACACACACACACACACACACACACACACACACACACACACACACACACACACACACACAGTCTTAGTGCCCAGGGATCCTATGAAATAAAACACACACACACACACACACACACACACACAGTCTTAGTGCCCAGGGATCCTATGAAATAAAACACACACACACACACACACACACACACACACACACACACACACACAGTCTAGTGAGGTTCTCTGTCTTGGGGCCCTTTGGGAAGCTTAGGTTCAAACCATGCTGCTCAGAATTTGAATTTGGATTTAGTCTCTAAAGAGGATTGGAGACTCACAGGTCCAGGCTGACTCATCTTCTCCTCCCACTCATGGGCCTGAGCTCTACTATTATTCACAGATAAGTGGTCTAAAAACCCTCAAATCAGGGAGCCAATGTGCTATACATACTCTGTACACATTTCCACGGCCTAAAAGTTCTAATAAGTGTCCTCACCTTTAGGATCCTAGCAAAAAATATCTTGATGTTTGCAACACTGTAAAGTAATTGATGTTATTATGGTCTGTCAGAGCCCATTTAATTAACCAACAAATATTTATTGACCATTTATTATGTGCCACTCACTGGCCCAGGTGATGGGAATATGTACAGGAATAAAATAGAGTATGATCTCTGCCTTTAAGGAGCCTTTAGTTGATAGAGGATGCCATGCTGTGCTAAATCGCTTCAGTCATGTCCTACTCTGTGCCACCCTGTAGACTGTAGCCCCCAGGCTCCTTTCTCCATGGAATTCTCCAGGCACGAATACTGGAATGGGTTGCCACTTCGTTCTTCAGGGGATCTTCCTGACCCAGGGATTGAACCCACATCTCTTAAGTCTCCTGCATTGGCAGGCAGGTTCTTTACCACTAGAGGATAATTTATAGCAAAATAAACAGAAACTTTGGTAAGTGGTTATTCTGTTCAATACAGTAGTTACTAGCCATAAGTGGCTATTTAAAACAAGATTTTAGGGAGTTCCCTGGCAGTCTAGTGGTTAGGACCCTGCACTTTCATTGCTAAGGACATGGGTTCAATCCCTGGTCGGGGAACTACGATCCTGCAAGCCATGTGGTACAGCCAAAATAAAATAAATAAAATTTTAAATTCAGTTCCTCAGTCACACTAGTCATGGTGACTAGAGACTACCATATTAGTGCAGGTATGAAACATTTCCATCATCACCTAAAGTTCTGTTGGACAGTACTGTGAGCATGATAAAATAGGGATAGAGGTAAAATAAGGTGGAGTGATCAGGGAAAGCCTTATATCTTCCTTGCTCTTGCAGTCTCCCACCAGGGACTGGCCCTTCCCTAACCAAGCCCCACTTCCCTCCCTCTATAGCCATCTGTCAATTCAGGGCCACTCTCCAAGGCCCAGCTCAGCTACCACCTACTCAGTGATTTTGGCACCAACAACCACATACAGTCTCTTCCTCTGTTTGTCATGGTGCCTTTTTGATGCTAAAATATTTCTTAAAGTCACCGTTGGTTTCCTTATGGGCCTTTTCTCAGACTCCCTCTTGAACTTCACAGAACTTCACTCTCCTTGAAACTCTCTGTTATTTCCAGACATTTTGTTCTCTTGATTTTTCTCACTTTTCTAAGTATTCTCTCTCTCACTGTTATTATTCTTTCTGCATCTTAAATATAGTTTCTCTTGAACTTATATGGCTACTATATATTGAAACTATATGGCTACTTCTTTGAAATTCCATTCTTGTCTTTCATGGCACATTTCTGTCCATTGTTCTGCCTCCTCGACTTTTTGTTCTGTCTGAACTTGAATAATGCTCAAAGATCCCCAGCATTCTGTGTTTACACGGAATTCTTTACCCCTTCTTTACTCCCCACCTCCCCTCCTCTTTGAGAGACCTCATCTAATACCCACCTCTGTTTGATGGGCTGCTGCTTCTCTTGAGCTCTGGAGCCACATTTTCAAACTAACTTTGTGCCCCTCCATTTGAATACTCTCACAAACTCTTTAGATTCAACATGAGAAGCTGAAACGTGACTTCCTCAGCCCCAGAGCTGCTTTTTCTCATAACTTCTTTGGAGACCTAATCGCCAAGCCTGATTTAGGATCATCCAGATGTCCTACCTGTTACTTGCTTTAAATATGATTAGTCCTCTGGTTTCTATCTCCAAAACCAGCCTCTGACACATGACCTTGCACTCAACTCTTCCAGTTCTGTTGCAGTAGCTCACTGATTGATCCCTGTAGGCCCTAGCTTTGTTCCTTACATTTCTTCCACCAGAATGACCTTTCTTAATGTAAAACTTTGTCAGACTCTCATGAACATCCTATAATGATTTTTCATTATCTATAAAACAAGCCTTTGTGGAGAGCTGGCCTGCAGCTCTTTAGATTCTGGTACCTTATCTATCTTTCTAGCTTCGTCTTCTCTCCTCCACATCGCCGACACAGTGAGCTCACCTTCAGCCCGTGTGTGTCTCACACTGTTACCCCCCAGCACCTCCGCCTGGAGTGCCTCTTCTCCCTATGCCCCCTTTCTAAACTCAAGTCTGCTTTGTCTGTCCTAACATACGGCTCAGATGTCACCTCCTTGGGGAGATTTTTTCTTTACATTACCAGGCAGTGAAACAATTTCCCTCGTCCATCTTTCTGGCATGTGTCCACTTCTGACATGATTTGTTTCTCTTCTTAATTTTTCTTTTTACCAAAGGGAGTACAAAATTTCTTGAAGAAAGTCTAAAAAAGTATTACAAGATCTACAGAAACAAGTTCTCCCCTCAAAATTTTATCTTCACCGTTTTAGTCTAATTCAACCATTTTTATCTGTTGACTTCTTCTTATACTAATGCATGCTGCTGCTGCTGTTGAATAGCTCAGTCTTGTCTGACTCTTTGTGACCCCATGGACTGTAGCCCACCAGGCTCCTCTGTCCATGGGATTCTCCAGGCAAAAATCCTGGAGTGAGTTGCTGTGTCCTCCTCCAGGGGATCTTCCTGGGATCGAACTTCCAGGGATCAAACTCGACTCTTATGTCTCCTGCATTGGCAGGCGGGTTTTTTACCACTAGCACCACCTGGGAAGCCCTATTATATTATTACATAGTTTATTTAATCTTACAAACTACATCACACTCAGACGTGTCCCTTTTCCCTATTCTCCCAGTGGAGTTAAATCACAATTTGGAGTGAAGATAATACTTGTTATTTACATTCTTATTACTATGCCAGTGTTATTCACAGCTAAAGCACATAGCATTATATGATTTTTTTTTTTTTTGGATACAGTTTTTGGTTTTCTTCTTTCCCAAGTGTTAATAATTACCTTTTTTCTCACTTAATTTTGGATATACCTAGCACTGATTTTTTTTTCCCTCCAAACTCTTTGCTGGAAATACATATTTTCTCTTGGTACCCTCAGATACATGAGGTTTAATTTTTTTAAGTTTTTCTCTTGGGATCCTTCTAGAACCTTCTTTCTTTCATTCCATTCTGGGTTGATTGCCCTTTAGCCTCTAGGAGAATAATTATCCTGAACCTTCCTTTTTCCAGTACCCTGGGGATTCTGTTAGTCTCTGTCCTATATTACATCCCACTTTTTTCTTATTTATGCCCTGTTAGTGGCTTTCTGGAAGAGGCTGTACAGGAAGTAAATTTTAAATTTCAGCCTAAGCAATTTACCCAACCTATCTCACAAACAATACCCACTAACAATTACCACACCGTGGTAAGGAGTAAATGAGATATAAAGCACATAGCTCACTATCTCGCCCTTAACATTGGTATTCAGTAGGAGTCATGATTCCTAATCCTCAACTGTAGTATCCTTGGGAAACATTGTACGTGTTCTCTTTTATTTTGACAACCTCACACCCCCACTTCACTTCCTGTTGAAGTGCCTGACACATACATGGTGGAAATGTTCAGTTTGTAGGTGGGTGGATGGGTAGATGGATTCTATATTTAACTGGGGACATGTGGGCACAGGCTTCCAAAAATCAGGAATGAATGTTCCTAATTTCCCAGCATCTTTCTTTCTCTTGCTGTGTGTTCTCATCTTTGCTGTTGGTTATTGTAGGACCAAAGGAAGAAACGGTGAATGATTTCTGGAGGATGATCTGGGAACAAAACACAGCTACTATTGTCATGGTGACCAATCTGAAGGAGAGAAAGGAGGTGAGTGGAGAAATTAGAATGGCCTCTGATACAGGCATGACGAACAGAGGGACTGCTTTTTTGTGTGTTCTGTGTTTGAGCCTAGGGTGTCCATCTTTTTTGGCTTCTGTGCCAGTCCATCCAGACAGAATCCAGGCCAGGGTGCCCATTACATTTTACTGTGGTCTGGAAGCCTTCGATGACCTGAGGAATATTCCTAGGGCACGCCCTATGTCTGGTAACCAAACAACTCACCTTAGATCCAAAACATCTTAGAAGAAGGACTTGGACCATTAACCAAGGAAAAGCCTGAGTGAGGCTTTTCTCCCCTGGCTTTCTTTGTCCCTCATCTCCTGGGTTTCATGCTTTTGTTTTCTTTCTGTCCCTCCTCCCGGGTCAGCAGAGGGAGCTGTTTGGGCCCAAGGAAGTGTGAATCCCTGACCTGATCCTTCAGACAAGCCTTCTGACTGACCCTTTCCTTTCTGTGACTGCTAAGTCCATGCCTAGTCAGCTCCATCACTGGGCCACAGCCAGCACCAATCCTGAGTCCTGGATTAGGCCCCAGAGAGGAATCCCAATTCATGACAGTCTCTCTCCGGGATGGCACTGGAGTCAACCTGATTCCCACACTGGGCTGTTGGGTGTGTTGATCAGCTTAGGAGGGTTAGTTTTAGAGCTGGACTTTAAGTTCGTTTCCTCCATCCCTACCTGTGGCTTTTGGGAGCTGTTCAAGGCCTAATCCCCAGAGAAGGCCTTGGGCCTCTCATGGCAAGTTTACAGTCTGTATAAATCCATCCTAGTGACTTCCTCATAGCAACTTGCCCTTTCCAGGGGATCAGTGGACTTGCCCTCAGAGCACGACCTGGAATATTGTGGAAGTACAGATTTTATACATAAAATGGCTTCCGATTTGCCCTAAATTGAGAGACTAGAGATGGGAAAGAGTGAGGAAATATATGGCTGGGGCTATGCGTAAATTAAGAGATTGTGTTAAATGGGATGGGAACTGAAGAACTTAAAACAGGGAGTTTCTTGCCGGCATAGTGATTAGGATTCCGGGCTTTCACTGCTGTGGCCTGTGTTCAGTCCCTGATCGGGGAGCTGAGATCCTGCAAGCCGCATGGCACAGCCAAAGAAAAAAGGGAAACAGTTAAAGTCTGCAGCTGATGGAGGTGAGAGAAGAGGCCAGGAGGCTTTCTGAGGATTTCAGTCTGGGCTTATGTGGTCCTTTCCTTTAGGGCCCTTTGCATCTGCTAGGGGTGGGAGGCCTGAAGTCAGGAGGATGCATGTCTGTTCCTTTCCAGTGTAAGTGTGCCCAGTACTGGCCAGACCAAGGCTGCTGGACTTACGGAAATATCCGTGTGTCAGTAGAGGATGTGACCGTGCTGGTGGACTACACAGTGCGCAAGTTCTGCATTCAACAGGTACTGTCTGCTGCTTCCTTTCTTGGTTCTCATTTAGGATCTGCTGACCATTAAGAGGGCAGAACAGGCTGGGTCATCCCCCTCTTACTCAGGGTGGTCAGGAATCACTTGAGTATGCAGTATGTTTGGACTCTGAAATCAGAGATCTAGGCTCTCAGGATTTATCTTTTTTTTTTTTTTTTTTTTTTGCCCTTTTGATCAAAGCCAAGGGAGGAACATTTTTGTGACTGGGAGAAAAAGTATTACTGAGGTGGAGTTTGGTCATCTTAGGTATAAACTGGGTGCATCAGGAGGTAGTGTAATCTTTTTGGTACTTGACTCATCTCCTCCTTTTTTACCCCAAAGACTCGTGACATCAAGGATTTGGGCCCTGCTCCTGACCCTCCAGAGTGACCCTGGAGGCTTGAGCAAAGATTGCCTTCAGCTGAGGGCAGTGTGCTGCTGTGAAAAGAGAGCTTACCAAGAATTAGGAGACGTGCACTTTAGTTCTGACCTTACCTTTTACTAATCATGGGACCATAACCAGGTCATTTAACTTCTCTGAGTTTCACATTCCGTGTTTGTAGGAATGAATAATAGTAACAGCCTTGACTATCCCATGGGAAGGTTCTCTGTCCATGGTTAAAACTTTTCTTCTTTTTAATTTTTTTAAAATTTATTTATTTTTAATTGGAGGATAATTATTTTCTTGAAAAGTTTATTACTCATCACTTCCCCATTGTCAGTGACAGCTACAGCCTGCCCTGGCCCCTTCATCTCACCCTCCTTCCCCTGGTGCTGCCCTACCGCAGGGTATCAGGGCCAACACGCAAGATCTCTTCAATTTACAGGTGGGCGACGTGACCAACAGAAAGCCACAGCGCCTCATCACTCAGTTCCACTTTACCAGCTGGCCAGATTTTGGGGTGCCTTTCACACCGATTGGCATGCTCAAGTTCCTTAAGAAGGTGAAGGCCTGTAACCCTCAGTATGCAGGGGCCATCGTGGTACACTGCAGGTCAGTGTGGCCTGACCCTTGGCACCCCACTCATACCACATTCTGTTCCCACGCTGAGAGCAGGGAAGGCATAGGAGCCCTGGCTGAGGAGGCTGGCACAGAGCAGATGAACTACCTGGGCCCCAGAGCAGCAGCCAGAGAGACTCTTCAAGTTTTGGTGCTAGGTGGAAAGCACTTGAAGAAAGAGGGAAGGGCAGTCCTCCAAGATTGGGGGTGAGGGGACCACTGCTATGAAGCCAGTAAGCTAATTTGAGTACTGCCTTGTATACATGGACTCTGCAGACCATTCTAAGTGTCCCTAGTCCTGATAACTCAAGGTAAGGAGTTCACAATACAGTGGGGTTGTTGGTTCCATGAGAGTCCCAGCTCTGCTCCATATAGAATTAGAATCTAAGGTTTAAAGAAGGAGCTCTAGCCTGTGCTGCCCCCTCCCTTTGTGTTCCCCCAAGGCATCCTAGCCATCCCAGTAATACTCCTGCTCTCTGGCCACAGTGCGGGTGTAGGACGTACAGGTACCTTCGTCGTCATTGATGCCATGCTGGACATGATGCATACAGAGCGGAAAGTGGACGTTTATGGCTTTGTGAGCCGGATCCGGGCACAGCGCTGCCAGATGGTGCAAACAGACGTGAGTGATCTATATGTGAAGCAAAGGTGGGGGGCATATTAGGACCAAAACATCTACCCACGTCATGGATTACTCAGTCTCCCAGGTTATTGTAAATGATCATCATACAGTGTGACAAAGGGCCTTATAAATTATATAGTAAAAGAACATGAAGCACAGAGAAGGGTGTGCCCCTGGGGAGTCAGGAAGGTGGGCAGATGTCGTTTGCACTAGGCCCTAAGGATATGGAACAGGTCCTGAGGGAAGAGCCATTGCCCAGAGTGGTGACACAGCTCAGCCAGGTCCAGGAGCAGCAGTGTGATCAACTCTGTGGTTAGGGAATGGGGTGCAGAGGGCACAGCACTGGGAGGGGGGCTGGCATTGGGCTGTGTGTGTCACTAGGATTTGACAGCCCCTCAGTCTGTCCATCTATGCTCTAGATATGGATGAATGAATGGATTGGATTTGTCCTTCTCTCCAGGAAAGCATCAGAGTAGTACTCTCCCTCCCAGATTTAAGCACCCCTAGAGGGACTTGGGCACTTTGAGTCCTGCTTCCTTGAATTTGGACAAGAGCAAATCATTTTGTCTGTGCTGGAATCAAAGAAGTGGACTGAAGTGAAACAGGAGTGAGTGTGGGAGGGAGTGCTTCGGCACCACCATTGTGTAACTGGGAACTGCATCATCCATATTTCAGATGCAATACGTCTTCATATACCAAGCCCTTCTGGAGCATTACCTATATGGGGATACAGAACTGGAAGTCACCTCTCTAGAAACACATCTGCAGAAAATTTATAACAAAATCCCAGGGACCAGCAACAATGGACTAGAGGAGGAGTTTAAGGTGAGTTGGGGCTGAACTGTCTCTTTCAGAATGAAAGATCTGTGTGACCTGCGGAATACAGAATGTTTGACTCCTTTTGAATTTACCAACAAATGGTAAATCCTCTTTCAAGGCATGTGGATAGTTAGGGAGGTGTGTCTGTGGCCCGTTACTCATACCCTAGTCGTTCTCAATCCTTCATGTTAGAATCACTTGGGTTGCATTTTGGGAGTGGGTGAGGAAACAAAAATAGGCAATGGTATTTTTTTTTTTTAAGTCCCCCAGCTCCCCCTCCCAGGTAATTACGATGAACAGCAGGAGCAAACTCTTTCTGCAGAATAAATATTTTTGGCTTTGCAGGCCATATGGTCTATTCACAACTACTTAACACTGCTGTTTTAGCACAGAAGCAGCCATAGATACCACGTAAACAAATGAACATGGCAGTGTTTCCATAAAACCTCGTTTACAATCAGTAGACCAGCTTGGCTCACAGGCCATAGGTTACTGACCCTGCCGTACTCGAATAGACAATGGTTCTAAACACACTTATGGGATGTGTCATACTCTCGGCAATAAAAGTGCTCCCAGAAGCAAGAGATTTCTGGGTTGGGACGGGGAGGACCACTTTCCATAAGCACTCCTAAAACTAAGAGGTTACATCAGGGCTCTGATTCAGCAACTCTGAGTTGGGGCCTGAGACTCTGCATATTTGACAAGATGAGGCTGATGCTGCTGGTTTATGGGATACACTTTTGAGTAGCAAAGATTGGGAAGAAACCTTAGAATCAGGAGAAGGGAAGATATATATATTTTAATAAGGTTTTTCTAAAGAATGTAAGACAGCCTCTGGGAATAGAACAGCAGAGAGGGAGGGCACACTAGATTCCTTGCTCCAGGATCATAGAGTGCCAGGCCAAGGAAATCCCAGAGTTGTCCACAGGGCCTGCCCAGGAAAGCAGTGTTTCCCAGATGTTCTTGTCTTATTCACTGATACTAAAGTTGAAGAAACAGTGTTCTGATAAGAGCATGTGGAAATGGAGGTCAGGGCTCTGATGAGATAAGCAGTGTGCAACCAGTGTGGCCTGGATGCAGGTTCAGTAACAGACATAATCTTGTCAAGTTCAGTTACTGAGACCAGTAATGTTTCCCTTCCCCATCCCAATTCAGAAATTAACATCGATCAAAATCCAGAATGACAAGATGCGGACCGGAAACCTTCCAGCCAACATGAAGAAGAATAGGGTTTTACAGATCATTCCATGTAAGAGCCCTCTCCCAACCCCAAAGCCCTAATGCCCATCCCCCTTTCCGTTAACCCTTCAGCCTTCTGTACTAGTTAATGATCAGCTTGGAGACAAGAATGATGGCATTGTCTCTTATTGCTCCCAGTTCTTCAGTGGCTTTTGCAAAGAGCATGAAGGCCAACGTTTTCTGCCTCCTGGGCTAGGAATAGGCCTGTTGTTACCAGCTGGAATTACATCTGCTCAGAGCCTGAGGAGAGGCGGGGATAGATGGAAAGAGAGGGAGGAGAGGACAGGTGATGCTGGGAAGCCACAAGCTGCTGTCCTTCTTGCAGATGAATTCAACAGAGTGATCATTCCAGTTAAGAGGGGTGAGGAGAACACAGACTACGTGAACGCATCCTTCATTGATGTAAGTTGTGGCAGTGTCCCCTGAGCTCCCAGCACTTCATGGAGATTGAGCTGGGCTTTGCAGTGCTACCCTCCCACTGCTTGAAAGGATGGTCTTTGAATCAGTCATCAAATGCAGAACTGATACCCTTCCTGTGTACTAGATCTGTCAGAGCCCCCAAGAGTAGAAGGTGGGGTACCAGAGGGTAAACACCAATGTAAGAGCTGGAAGGAAAAGTTCACAGCACAAACCAAAGGCTAAAAACACTAACCTCTGGGCCTTCCCATTCCTGCTCTCCATCCTAGCCCCAGCTCCACTTCCGTCACCCTCATACAAGGAAACCAGTGTGCTGTCCAAGATTTGGTCCTTGACCAAAGAGGAGCTCTGCCTGAGATTTGTTTGCCTCTAGGTAGCCCCCTCCCCAGCCCAGTGGCCTGTCTTCTCTACTAGCCCCTCCTTGATCAAACCATCTTACTCACATCTCATCTCACATTGACCTGGCTTTTATAGGGGTACCGGCAGAAGGACTCCTACATCGCCAGCCAGGGCCCTCTGTTCCACACAATTGAGGACTTCTGGCGAATGATTTGGGAGTGGAAATCTTGCTCTATTGTGATGCTAACAGAACTGGAGGAGAGAGGCCAGGTGAGTTCAAAAGATCCTGGGCTATGGGAAACAAGAGACTGGGGGCGGTACAGTGGGGGAGCTCAGAGGTTTTTTCTTTGATTTAAGTTAATAAAACAGCCATTGCCCAGCCTCTTGGTATCTGAACAGTCAGCTCCTCTCAGGGCTGGTCTGAGCTTCCATTCGATTCCCAAACCTCTCACTTCTCTTCTAAATATGGTCTCCCCAAGCCTAGCTTTGTACCCTCTACACCCCACCTCCACGGGCAGAGCAGAGCTAGCAAGATGAGGGATACAGAGTCAGACTGCAGCTCCATCAGAGCTTGTGTGAAGTCCCTTAAGGAGCCTTCCAAGCCAGAGAAATTAACTAGAAGATTGATGGGAAGATGGATCACCTCTTTGCTGACTGCCCAAAGAAAACAATAGAATTTGAGAAATAAAAACAAGAAACTTACTTTTTAATATGGAGAATAAATTAATACTATGGTTTCTTCATATGTATCCAACAGCTAGATCCATAGCATATTTGCTGATCTGTTTATAGACCTGTTTATATGCCACATGCTTTTTTTCTTTTTCCAGAAGCAAGAAACTTACAAGTTAACAGTCAATAACAAGGAAATCTTTTTTAAAAAGCCCTGAGTCAATTAAAAATTAGAATTGTCAGTGAACTCAGAGTATAAAGGGACCTTAGAGGCCCCTAGGCCAGCTCACATTCAGTGTAGGAAATCTCAAAAGCATTCCTGAGTCAGAACCTTGCAGCCTCTGCTGAGGACGTTCAATCTCAGGGGTCGCTCTTTCTCTGTCCACTTCCCACCCCACCTCTCCCAGTATTACAGAGTGGCCCAGTCTGTGTTCAGATAGTGCTTATTACGTTCACACTCTCTCTGCTGTGGATGCCAGTGCTGTAAATGGGTGCTTTGTGATGCCTTAACATTGGGCAGAATCAAGAGAACAAGCAGAAAAGGCCAGCACGGGCCCTGGGAAGAAGGTCCTTCTAAGCCAGAGTGAAGAGTTTGAATTTTGTAAAGCAGTTTAAGAACCCTTGACAGTCTCAGATTTGTAAGTTTTTTAGAATCCCTCTGGCTGCAGTTAGAATGACAGGTTAGAAATGAGCAAGCCAAAAGCAGAGAGGAAGCTGCCGCAGGGATGCTGCTGGACTGAACTGGGACTGGGGAGTGGGGATTTAAACACATTTTTTATGTTAATTGTTCCACACCACATCGTTCCCATGCTGTACTTGGACAGTTTGTTTATTTTAACCTTGGTAAAGGCTTCATATCTGCTTACCCTGATGTTCTGATTTGTCAAGATTTTTTTCAAATTTAATCATTTAAATTTGAGTGCTTTTTCTTCCTGGATTTGTATCATGTACCTAATCAACAGACGTGCATAATAGATCTTCCATCTTCCTCTATCTATCATTAATAACAGTACTGATGAGGTGAGAGATTTGGGGCAAGTGTACACCTGCATAACAAAGGCCAGTTGGGGGATGAGCTCGTTTATTGTCAGGAATGAGGTGCAGTATCCTGGCCCTCTCTGATAAGCTGTGATGGAATGTGCAAATAGGGACCTACATGCAGTTCTGTCCACACTCCTGCCCCCTGGATCTGTGGCAGTCAGATCCAAAGAGTAGGCAGAAAATGCTGGAGTGACAAGCACATTCTCAGTCACTGCCCCGTAATAAAAAGTGGCCCAGTGAATACCTCAGACTCTGTCTAGTCAGATTTTCAGGCTTTTCCATCCTTGAAGCAGACCTAGTAAGAGTACAGGGCAGAGAGGCAGGAAGCATTTCCTATGGGCAGAGGTGAGGAGAGAGGGGACATGCACACACTGGTCTCTGGTGGTGCGGCCCATCCCCCTCCGCCGCTAGCACTGTGCCTTCTGCTCTGTCTTAGGGCCAGTGAAACAAGCTTCTGAAATGGATCAGCACAGGTTATAGTAACATTCTTTACCAGCCTCACTGGCCTCTAAGAGAAACTTTTACTTTGTGTCCCACCTCCCATTCATCTTGGCAGGTGTAGCTCCCAGAGATACTAACACAGTAAGCCTAAATGAGACAGTGAAGAGTGTCTCCTTTAAGACCACTCCCCACCCCCAGTTTAAATTCCCAGAGGAAAAAACTGATCCAAAAATGTAAATTCTGTATGTGTTAAAATTCCAAAGGAATTAAAACCAAAAATTCTCTTCTCCCTATTTTATTTTTCTCCACCATTTTAATAATGGTCCACCAAGATGTTTGGTCAGGCCTGAGTTCCCTCATCAGCTGCAGCTTGGACCATGATCAGAGTGAGCAGAGCAGTCCTAGGAGTCTCTGCATGGGGTCAGCTCAACCCAAGGACACATTCTACTTCTCTAGAGAGACAATAAAACATGATTGCATCAGACCCCAGCCCACAAAGCTCTGTATCTCCATCACTGTTGTCAGCCCGACCATAGCAAGAGACTTAGTGCTATATAGTGGAAGGAAGGTGAACAAAGACAGCAGGAGAAAAGACTGAAAAGCTTCTCTGTTTCCACTTCTTTGGAAATTCCAATACCTAGAGTCTGTAACCTGACAATGTAAATCTTAGATTAAACCCATTTCCAAGCAGTCATCTACTAGACTTGAACACCTACTCCTCATTTCTGATTTCTCATCCAATGATGCCTCCAACACCTGGCTTGCTGCCCTTTTTGGTTCTTATTCCTGTCTCTGTTCTTGGAGGCAAATGTTTGTATGTGGGTGATCCATCTACCCTTATCTTTCAGCTTCTCAGCTTCCTCACCCTTCTAGGCTTGACTTCTCTGGGAACTACTTCAGTCAAGGTCACCAGTGACTACCATCTTGACAATCCAAAAGTTATTTCTCTTTTCTTGTCTTTCTTGTTCCTTTGTATGCCAACACACGCTCCTTCCCCTCAGAACACTCCCTGACCTCCGTGATGTCACTCCTGCACTCACTGGCCTGGCAGCACCTTTGTCATTTCTTTGTGACTTCCTCCTCCTCTGAGTGACCAGCACTGAGGCCTTAACCCACTTTTGTTCTCTTTTGACACACTATTCCTTGGGGAGTTCATCCAGTTCTGTGGCTTAAAATACTATCTATATGCCAGGAATTCTCACATCTATGTCTCTAGCCCACTTACCCCCCACCTTCCCGGTTGTTTGGATTTGATCCCTTGATTGGAAAGATCCCCTGGAGAAGGAAATGGCAACCCACTCTAGTACTCTTGCCTAGAAAAATCCTATGGACACTCTGTGGGAGAAGGCGAGGGTGGGATGTTTCGAGAGAACAGCATGTATATTATCTATAGTGAAACAGATCACCAGCCCAGGCTGGATGCATGAGACAAGTGCTCGGGCCTGGTGCACTGGGAAGACCCAGAAGAATCGGGTGGAGAGGGAGGTGGGAGGGGGGCTCAGGATGGGGAATACATGTAACTCCATGGCTGATTCATGTCAATGTATGACAAAACCCACTGCAATGTTGTGAAGTAATTAGCCTCCAATAAAAATAAATGAAAAAAAAAATCCTATGGACAGAGCAGCCTGGCGGGCTGTAGTCCATGGGGTTGCAAGAGTTGGACATGACTTAGCGACTAAACCACCACCATTTCCAGTTGTTGAGCACATAGCTATGTGATATCTTCTCATTGGTGTCTGTTAAGAATCTCAGACTTCATATGGCCCAGATAAAATTTGGTTTCCTCCTTTCCTTCATACTGGTTCATTCTATCCTTACCCATCTCAGTGCATTGTACCACCTTTCACCCAGATGCTCATATCAAAAGTCTAGGAGTTACCTTTATTCCTCTCCTTTTCTCACTCTTCACAACCAGTCTGTCGCTGAGTCCTGACATAGGCTGACTATTATATTCACTTCTCTTCAGTGTAACTCCTGTCACCCCTATCATCTCTCTCCTGCATCACTCAAGTAGCCTGGCAGCCAGTCCGTCTGCTCCCATTCCCATCCCCTTTTAGTCACTTTTCCACATGGAGGCCAGCAATCTTTTTGAAAATATAAATCTAAATATATCATTCCTTGTTTTAAAATCCTCTTTGAGCTTCCTTATCTTGAGGGAAAATCTACCTATGCATACAAAATTTAGAAACTTTTCCTGAGGTATCCAGTCCCAAGACTTGAATTGGGTCCTTCTTCCTCTCTGTTTCCATTGCTTCTTTTAGGTCTCCTAGTTTCCATTTTCCCTCATCCCCGTTGGCCCTCACATGCAGAGTGGAGCTTGGGTTCTGAGATGAGTCTTAGCCTCTACTCCTTGAGAGTAGGGTCCCATATTTGTCACAGCCTTGCATTCCCCAACTCTGTGCTATCATGTCTCCATTCTCAGCAGGACACCAGGGCATTTTGCCTTGGGCAACAGTGGGTACTGGCACTGCTGGCCCCTGCTCTGGATTCTGTTACAGCTCTTTTTGCCATTTCTCTCCCCACACCCTTGAGAGGCACCATGGGAGTCAAGTCCCATTAAGCCCCACCTTCTGTTTCTGTTGTGGAGCCCACACAGAGGCTAAATTCAGTAAGCCTTCACCTGCCTGAGTAGGATAATTGCCTGCCATTGGTCCAACATCTAAAAGCACCTTATGTGCTTTCTCTTTATCTCATATCATCCCATAAATCCTATCCCCATAAGTGTGCTTGTTTTTTCTCAGCACACCATACCTGCTTCCCTGGAGTAGCCGTGTCACCTTCACATTCACTCTACAATAGCACTAATCTGATTTCTCGGGCCTGCCACAGATAATCATGGCAGATTGTCTCCATTAGTCAGTCTGCTCTGGCTACATGCTTTCACTGTTGACCAACTCCTTGTCCATAGTTTGAAGAGGAGACTCTTTTTTTTTTTTTTTTGCCATGCCACAAGGCTAGCGTAATCTTAGTTCCCCAACCGGGGGTCAAACCTGTTCCCCCTGCAGTGGGAGCATGGAATTCTATCCACTGGACCACAAAGGAACTCCCTGAAGAAGGGACTCTTGATGGTTCAGTGGTACATCCGTGGGAGTCCTTCCAGTCTGCCCCTTCTCTGTTATGCCTCTTTGCCTAAACTAAGAAGATCTAAAATATCTGAAGGCTGTTAAGTATGGAACATTAATAATTTCTTCTTGTCATAGTGTTGATTCTGGCTCCTATAGTCTGTTGCTGTCAAGCCCGTTGTATCTTAGTGTTTCTAATGGTTTTAAAGCCCAGTCTTTAGTTCTGACTGATGAACTGTATAAAGTTAGTGTTGGAAAGGAACTGTGGTAGCAAAACTCATTCTGCCCATGAATCCCTGAAAACCAGCATAGTCTCATTTAAGGTGAGACTTAATTAGGGGTTTTGGTTTTTCAAAAACCTTAATTAGGTTTGACTTTTCTAAAACTGTTCTGTTGAAGAGGGTCCCGAGCTCTGACTCTCAGGGTATCCCCAGGGCTCCTAGGCACAGATTGAAAAGCACTGCTCCTATGGCATTTCCTTGATCCACCACTTTAATAATCCTGTGTTTTAAAATGAGCTCAGGGTCATTTATAAAGGGGGTAATGAATGATGACACATACGAAAAACAAGTCATTAAGGGACTTCCCTGGTGGTCCAGTGGCTAAAAGACTGAGCTCCCAAGGCAGGGGCCTGGTCAGGGAACTGGATCCCACATGCTGCAAATAAAGACCTCTTGTGCCGCAACTAAGATCCAGTGCAGCCAAATAAATATTTTTTAAACTCACTAAATTGGACTTTTAATGTTGATTTTATTTGGACTGAGAAACTAGTGGTGGTTTTTATTTTTGTATTTAATTTTCCCAAATCTTTCCTAGTGAACATAGAGCATAGAGTACATTTATGGCTGAGTATCTTTAAATTGTCAACAGTGAAGTATCTAGGATCTCCCCTAAAATGATCTAAAAAAAGGACAGCATAACTGTATTTTGTTTATGTATTTATACCCTGACTCGTTCTGTAGACATTAAAAGTCATTTACCAGATAACTTGCTGCATACGTACTAAGTCCTTTAAGTCATGTCCAACTCTTTTCGACTCTATGGACTGTAGCCCGCTAGGCTCCTCTGACCATAGGATTCTCCATGCAAGAATACTAGAGTGGGTTGCCAGCCTTCCTCCAGGGCCTCTTCCCAACCCAGGGATCTAACCCGTGTCTCATTATATCTCCTGCATTGCAGGCGTGTTCTTTACCACTAGCGCCACCTGGGAAGCCCTGATACTTACTGAGAACCTACTAGATGCAGGCAGTGTGCAAGGTGCAGTAGAAGGAACTGAACCAGGTGCAAGTAGAGACAATGCAGTAAACCACCTTGTGCTAACAGGAACGGAAACACAAGAGCTAGCGATTGTAAGGTGCCACTGCAGATGAGAGAGTTAAAGAGGAGAGGGATGGAAGCACACTGTGGACTGGGCTTTGAAGCACCATAGCTAGTGCTTTCTTCTGGGTTAGCAATTTGACATATATAAGCAACTACAAATGTGGCAACACCCCAAGGGGGCTGGAGGGGAGAAGAAATTAGAACAAAGACATTCACTCCTCCTCTCCCTCCACTGTTCATTAAGTGTTAGATGCAGCTATGAGCTGATGGTCAGAAGTCTTCATAAATCCTGTCAGTGTTGCAAATTAGACTATAAATAAGTAACAGCAAAAGGTTAAGTGATTATCTCATAAGTGATTGGTAGACTTAAGTTGTTAAATATGGGTGTCCTGCTGAGGATCAGAAGTTAATTACAGTGATGTTAAGTAATAGAATGACCGTCTTGAGTTTTTGATACCTTGGGGAAGAAGTGTGTCCATATAAGAAGGACTGTATTGAGAGGAGCAGTCCGCTTGTAGAGCAGTCCTGCTTTTACCATACATGGTATTCTGAGCCTCTCACCTCTCCCATTTGTCCCCCAGGAGAAGTGTGCCCAGTACTGGCCCTCTGATGGACTGGTGTCGTATGGAGACATCACAGTGGAGCTGAAGAAGGAGGAAGAATGTGAGAGCTATACTGTCAGAGACCTCCTGGTCACCAACACCAGGGTAAGATACCTGGTGGGTGGGCTCCTCCCATAGGGAAAGCAGGGTTGCACCTACCTCTCTGATCCTCCTTCCTCCTAAGGAGAACAAGAGCCGGCAGATCCGGCAGTTCCACTTCCATGGCTGGCCTGAAGTGGGCATCCCCAGTGATGGAAAGGGCATGATCAGCATCATTGCAGCCGTGCAGAAGCAGCAGCAGCAGTCAGGGAACCACCCCATCACCGTGCACTGCAGGTATGCCCACCCGAGCCCTCAGGGGAAGAGAGAAAAAGACACAAGAGGCAGGCAGAGGGGCAAGATGGGAGCCTCTGTCAGACTCTGATGAAAGCCAGGCAAGAGCGGGATGTTGGTGAGACATGGCAATCAAATTTGATGACCAGGACAGGCCCAGATGATAAGAGAGGATCTTGGAGTTTGAACTCAACACTTCCAGTGCTAGGGAACAACAGTCCCTAAGTTAAGACACTGGGCAGGGAATAGTGCTGGGGAAGGGGAACCAAAAGGAGACCGATAGTAGGCAAGACCAGCTGGGCAACATGGGAAGGCCTGCCTCCTTAAGAAACACAGGAAAACAGAAAAGGGCAACCATTTTGAGAACAGTTTGAAGAAAAATGAATAAGACATAGTTGTGAAAAAGAGGAGTGTCCTAGGTTCAAGGCTGGGTATAGTTGCTGGTGCCACTGACAGAAGAAAGATAGTATGGTAACTCATGGGGGAGGGAGTGGATTTTGTTTGGGGCACATTGTTTGAGACTGCATTTTAGAAATAAAATTTTACCATGCATTTGTATTGTTTTTATAATTGGGGGAAGGGAATCTCTCTTAAAGGGGAAGAAAGTATATATTTAAAATGTCTTCAGATTTGTTTTGAAGATAGAATAATGAGCAGAGGAACTTCTAGAAATGACCCAGTAAATGTTCTTCAGATGGCCAAAATGAAATTGTAATTACAAGAATTGAAGCACTGTTTATAATAGTAAAAGATGGTAGGGACTTCCCTGGTAGTCTAGTGGTTAAGATTCCATGCTTCAATGCAGCAGACACATGTTCAGTCCCTTGTCAGGGAACTAAGATCCCACATGCCACACTGCACAGCCCCCAAAAAAAAATTTTTTTTAAGCTGGTAAATAATCTGAACATATTAATAAGGGACTGGTTCCATAAGCTCTGATACATCATACTACAGAGCTTCAGAAAATTAATTAGGAATCTGTTTATGTACTGGTTTGGAATAATCCTCTAGATTTATTGCTTAGTGAGGAAAGCAGTGGGAGACAGAAAAAATATGTGTGGTATATGCATAAATTATCTTTGGAATGACACACAAGGACTTGATGACATTGGTTGTTTCCCAGGAGGAAACTTTCATAGGAAGGAGACTTTATATCTTTTGAACCTTTGGAAATTTGAACTGTGCTAACTTATTACACATACAAAAATAAATCATTCAAAAAAATGTACAAAAATAAATCATTCAAAAAAATGTTTATAAGAAGAAAAAGTGGCAAGAGTACATCAGCTAGTACCATTTGACAGTAAACATGAAAAGATGCTAATTCTTATTAGTAATATGAGAAATGGAGATGAAAACATGGCAAATTTTTAATTTAGGATTGACAAAAGGATTCCTTGACCTCGAAAAACACTTCCTTGCCCACACTTTTCAGTGTCGCATGCTCCTCTCTCCCTTGGTCACCCTCTCTTGGCTAACCCCAGATTCTCTAGCTGCCTTGCACCACGCACATGTGATAAGTGTATTTCTTTGTTACAGCGCGGGGGCAGGACGGACAGGGACCTTCTGTGCCCTGAGCACAGTCCTGGAACGGGTGAAAGCGGAGGGGATTTTGGATGTCTTCCAGACCGTCAAGAGCCTGCGACTGCAGAGGCCACACATGGTCCAGACACTGGTATGCTGCCCTGCCTGTTGATCCACGCCACCACACCATCCCCGGCGCCTCTCTGCCAGAGCCAGCTCAGGGGGAGGCTGTCCTGAGGGGCCTGTCTGGTAGACAGAAGGCTGTGTAACCACAGACTCATCCTTCCTCCAGGTGCCTCAGAAAAACAGAATAAGCTTTGGGAGGCAGGAGAGCATTGGAGGCATATCTTAGCCCCATACCAGTAAGAGATGCTGGTGGCCTCAGTGAAGACTAGAAGGGGGCGCCCAGGTGCCCGTTAGGGCTCTTCACTTCTCCATGGGTCTGAGGTGGGGAAGACTCAGGAGTACCTCGTTTCCTCAGCTCCTTTTCAGCAGTTCTCTTGACAGTCTAGACGACCAGTAAGCACTGAGTGTGAGGAGAGATGTGAACTCATGTCTGACCTCTGAAGGGCTAGGACCGCCACCTGCACCTCCAGTCTCTGCTTTCTGGAGAAGGTGACTTCACTCGGCCCAGAAAAGAATGCTATCAGAACTCTGCAGGCAGACAGATCAGGGCTCAGGTGGAAATGCTAAAGTACTTATTTCTTCTTAATTTTCCATTTTTTGAAGAACAGGTTTGTCGGGAGCTGCAGGTACATTGCTGTCTTGAGTAACCCTGGCCTTTTCCCCCACCTTTCACTCTGCAGGAACAGTACGAGTTCTGCTACAAGGTGGTGCAGGAATATATTGACGCTTTCTCAGATTATGCCAACTTCAAGTGAGAGGCGATGAGGCCCCGTGGACAGGAGAATTGCCTTTAATATTTTGTAATATTCTGTTTTGTTAATATACCCCAAATTGTGTATATATCTTACAACTGTTTTAGAAATTGGTACATAGGCTTCTATTACCTATTAGGTGGAGATTTTATATGTAAATGTGTTAGCACTGATAGTCCTTTTTCCAATGTTTTATTGGGGAATTAAATAGTGTGATGTTTGGATTGATATCATGAAATCCTCTGCCTGGAAATTGGGCTTGATTGTTCTTTGGTTTATATCGATACATCTTTTCCTAAAGAAGATACACAAAACTCATTCCAGGTAGCTAGGCATTAACTAAAAAAAAAAAGCACAAAGTTATTAGAGCTCTTGAGGAAATTGGTTGTCCCAGTGCCCCCAGTCAGACCACTGTCCCCTCCTGCTCTGTAAATAACCTCTCCCCTCTCTACCCTTGCCCCCTTCTCGTACCGCCCACATCCCACCATGGGGAGTAAAGGGACCAGAGTGGTATCTCTGGCACCACACTAGGGATTATCAGGTAATAAAAGCTTTGACTCCCTGAGGAATGTCTCTCCCTTTATGTGGGCCGGGGCAGTCATACCAGGGCTGGGTTCTCCTGTGCCACTCCTAGCTCACTGTTACCCATCTGTCTTAGCTGGCTGCAGAGAGGGCACAGTCTGCCTGTCTTTTTTCCAACATACACAGCTCCTCTACCTCTTAGGCAGCTGCCAGCACCCTTCTTCCACTCCCAGCATCTCTTCGGTGCAGTCGTTCTAGCCAGCCTCGCTCCCTAGGGAAGATGGCCTGAGTCCTTGCTTTTTCCGTAAGTGCAGGGGCATGGAGGCGAGGGGTGGCTTGGCTTTTGGCTTTGGGTCAGTTTGACCTCTCTAGTCCTTGGTGCTCTGCTGCAGAACTATCTGGATCATGTCACTTTGTCCAGAGTAGGTGTTTATATCCTCATTTATTGTGTTAAACAACTTCCATTTCCTTTCATCTCTGTCCTCATTTCCAGAACTCTTACGTGGAAGTGCCTCAGATCCAGAGGTAACATTGGTGGAAGTCTTAGATCCCAGTTGGAGTTTGAGCATAACCTGTCAGACAGAGTGTGTTAAATAAAATGGATGCATAAAAAGGAGGAAAGATCAGCAGAGCAGCTGATCAGAGAGGGCCTCAGATTCCAGGCACACGTTGAACATCATTTCATTTCTTTCTCATGTAACAGTCTGCCCAGTCTAGAGACCCAGTATCCTCCATCTCATGGTCCCAGTGACCCTTAGGCTGTTGTTCTCATCCTCATAGTTGAGGTCACTGACTTTTCCCATGGAGAAGCAAAAAGAGCATGGGTAAGCAATTTCATTTTTAAGGACATTAAATAAAAATAGCACTTTTCACTTCCACTCATACCCCATTGGCTAAACCCTAGTCATAAGCCCACACTGAGCTACAAAGGGTGCTGGGAAATGTGGTCTTTAGTTGAGGGCAGAGCTGGGAGGGTGTGTCTGTTTGTGGTCTCTTGTCCTTATGATCAGCCCCTCACAGGAACAGGAGAAGAAACCAGTTGCGATGACTGTTAAGTGCAGGGTTGACAAAGCCTGGCAGCCCTCAGGGCATTTCCTGAGGAGCCAGGGGCACCTTGGGGGCTGTCAGAAGTGAAAGGTGGCACTCCAGCCTGGCCCACGGAGGCATACTCAGAGATCAGTGGTGCCATGCTTCCAGGAGTAGGTAGGACTTAAACTGGGCCTGAGGGATGCTGGAAGCTCAGATGAGTGAAAAGGAAAGGTCAGCAGAGCAGCTGATCAGAGGGCCTCAGAGTCCAGGCTAACAAAGACGCACCCAAAAGATGGGACCCAAGTTCTGCCCCACATATTCAGGATGTCTGCAGGGATCAGGGGCGCCACAACAGATCACCTGAAAGCTTGCATGAGGTAAGTAGTATAAGTTGGTACATATACTCTGGGCCTCCTATAGGAAGCAAGGAACTGCAGGGGACAATAAACTCAAAAGTTAGTCGGTTTATAAGAAGTGTGGATAAATTAAACAAAGACAAAATCTCAAGAATTTCTGTTGAGGGGTGCTATGCTTCAGAAGGAAACCCCGTCTCTTTGCATACTACCTGTTGGTGCCTCTGTGTGATCATGTTCAAGTCCATGGAAGAGGGCAAGCCTTAAGGTCAGCAAGCCATGCAGCGAACATATCCCCTGGCTGCTAAACAGACACCTTTAAACAGGAGTTATCCAAGCCCTTTGCTCCCCTTCTCGCCCTCATCTTACTGGGTATGGCTCATTGCTCCTTATCCACTTTTCTTTTCCTGTTACTCAGGGCTCACATGGCATCAAGAGACATAAACCCGACAGGCTCAAAGGGAAGTGTATTGAGGCTCACGTGGCACAATTATGTGGGAAGGGCCTACCCCTCAGCCTGTCACCTGTGACCATGCGCAGCACACTCCCCAAACCTCTGGGACCTGCCACACTCACCGAGACATCACTTCATCAGATAGTCTCTGTGTTAGGTTTTCCTTCATCCTCTACCCCCACCCTCAGTTTACTCCCACACATTATTTTTGTATCCCTTCATCCTCAGTGCTGAGCCCCAAGGATCCAGTCTTCCTGTGCACTAGCTCCCCCATTGATGTAGTGACTGCCTTCCTCCACAGCCCTTTCCTCAGAGGTCAGGCATTCCTTCAGTCTGTATTGTGGACCCTGAGCCTTTCTCCGGTCCTGAGCTTCCAGTCCACACACCCTGCTTCCTGCTGTGACTCCACAGGGTAGCCCAGAGGCAGCAGACTCGGGCTCCGCACACTCCAGGGTTTGCCCAGTCACCATAGCCCACTGCCCTTTGTGCAGCCTCCAGCATCCTCTGCCCCCACTTCCTATCCCAGCTCTACTCCTATTGGGCACCAAAGCTACAGACCTCCCCCCTACACACACACACACACTCTCTCTCTCTCTCTCCCTCCCCCCCCCCCGACCCCCCAATAGTTCCTGTGTTATTTTGTTCCTTACCATGGAGCACCCACTGCAGCCCTATTGCCAAGACTCTAGCTAATGCTCTATCCTTCACCCAGGCCACCCGCTGAGGGGGAGGGGAGAAGGTGCTTCAGGGAGGGTGCCGCTCTGTTCCTGCAGCACCTGAGCATTCAACTCAAAATTGCTTTTCCAGCTGACTACAGCAGCCCCAAACTGGAATGATGTGCTCTCGGAGCTGAGTATGAGTTAAGAGTTAAGTGGTGAACAAATGACTTTCTGTGTCCTGCTGACAGGGATACAAGGATGAATTCCATTCCAGAGTTTATAATCTGGAAGAGGAGAGCAAATGTTCCTGAAAGGCTGAGTATGTGGCCAGAGAGAAAGGGACCAGAGCTTCCCCTGGGAAACTTAGTTCATGTTTGGATTTTTCAGGCAAGATAACGATCAAATTACAGAAAAAATAAAGGCACTCCATTCTTCTTTTAAAATGAACACCAGGGCCTTTGAATAAAACATTTTGTAAACCCATACCAGAACTAAGCTAGTTTACTGAACTTAGTCATTTTACCTAAACCCACAAAGGAAATGTTTCCAATCCCGAAGAAAGGCAATGCCAAAGATGGTTCAAACTACCGTAACAGTTGCACTCATCTCACATGCTAGCAAAATAATGCTCAAAGTTCTCCAAGCTAGGCCTCAACAGTACATGAATCTAGAACTTCCAGATGTTCAAGCTGGATTTAGAAAAAGCAGAGGAACCAGAGAGCAAATTGCCAACATCCATTGAATCATAGAAAAAGCAAGAGAGTTCCAGAAAAACATCAGCTTTATTGACTATGCCAAAGCCTTTGACCATGTGGATCACAACAAACTGGAAAATTCTTCAAGAGATGAGAATACCAGACCACCTTAACCTGCCTCCTGAGAAATCTGTATGCAGGTCAAGAAGCAACAGTTAGAACTGGACATGGAACAACCGACTGGTTCCAAATTGGGAAAGGAGTATGTCAAGGCTGTATATTGTCACCTTGCTTATTTAACTTACATGCAGAGTACATCATGGGAAATGCCAGGCTGGATGAAGCACAAGCTGGAATCAAGACTGCTGGGAGAAATATCAATAACCTGAGATATGCAGATGACACCACCCTTATGGCAGAAAGCAAAAAGGAACTAAAGAGCCTCTTGATGAAAGAGAAGAGTGAAAAAGCTGGCTTAAAACTCAACATTCAAAAAACTTTAAGGTCATGGCATCTGGTTGCTTCATGGCAAATAGATAGAGAAACAGTGGAACAGTGACGGATTTCATTGTCTTGGGCTCCAGAATCACTGCAGATGGTGACTGCAGCCATGAAATTAAAAGACACTTGCTCCTTGGAAGAAAAGCCATGACAAACCTAGACAGCATATTAAAAAGCAGAGACATTAGTTTGCCAACAAAGGTCTGTGTAGTCAAAACTATGGTTTTTCCAGTAGTCACCTATGGATGTGAGAGTTGGACTATAAAGAAAGCTGAGCACTGAAGAATTGATGCTTTTGAATTGTGGTTCTGGAGAAAAGACTTGAGAGTCCCTTGGACTACAAGGAGATCCAGCCAGTCAATCCTAAAGGAAATCAGTCCTGAATATTCATCGGAAGGAGTGATGCTGAAGCTGAAACTCCAGTCCTTTGGCCGCCTGGTGTGAAGAACTGATTCACTGGAAAAGACCCTAGTGCTGGGAAAGATTGAAGACAGGAGGAGAAGGGGACAACAGAGAATGAGATGGTTGGATTGCATCACTGACTCAACAGACATGAGTTTGAGCAGGCTGTGGGAGTTGATGATGGACAGGAAAGCCTGGTGTGCTGCAGTTCATGGGATCACAAAGAGGCAGACAGGACTGAATGACTAAAATGAACAAAGCAAATGCTATCCTAAAAGTTTCTTGGTTAACCAATAAATAAAGGGAAAAATCTTGTTTCCCAAACAATTTAACTTATTATACAGTCCAAGTACTCATTTCTGGTAAGTCAATTCGGAAATTCACCCATGCCTTCCTGCCTGGGCAGCAGAAGTCTAGGTACTCATGATGTCATCTCCCCCATCTTTGCCACAGGATCTGATGCACCTGCTCTCCTGATGACTGGCCACTGTGAATACCCAGCCTGACCCTACCCTTGCACTTTCTGTTTAAATTGCTGTCCAAAGAGAGATTGGCTATTAACCCCATAAACTGGCCTCTGCCCCTCAGAGGCTGGTGGCTGGCAGCAGAAAGCTGAGCTGACACAGACTAAGGCAGAAGCCTGTTTCTAGCATTCCAGGGAAGCTGTGCCCAATTCCATGAAATGGTCCTGGATTGAGCACAGTGTGGATGAGGAGTGGTTGGAACCTTGAGAAGCGGATTTATTCCTACCACTCGCAGATAGACCCACAAAGGTGCATTGCCCCTTTAACTGGGCCCCCTTTTGGGGGCCTGCTTGGAGGAGAGGCCATCTGCTGTATAGCTATGCCCCACCCAAAGCTCCTTTCACTGGAGTGACTCGGCCCTGGTGTCGAGGTGTGACACAGCAGCAGGCCTTGGGTGAAAGGTCTCTAGATCTAAGGGCAGGAGCTTGAGAAAGCCAGGGAAGTGGATCAGTGAGACCTCAGGGGCACAGGCCAGGCTGAAGAAGGAGTCCAATGATTTCAGATCCCTGGGAAAATGGGAGGAGGAGGCATCTGATGACCCCAGGCCAGCAGCTGAACATAACACTAGGAAGGGAAGAGGACTGGTGGCAAGCTGTCCCCCACCAAGACGTCATTGGAGCCTGTGGGCCCAGAGCAGGGGGTGGAACCACCTGCTCAATAAATCTCGGGGCTGCCTGGCTGGGTTCTGTTGCTGCCTGGAAGAGCCACCTGCAAGGAGCCACTTGGCCCACAGCCTTCCCCTGGTGAGTGAAGAGCCACCCTCCCCCAGGCTGGGGCTTGGCCAGATGCAGCTCTCTTCTAGGTGTATGGCATGCTGCTCCTCTTCCCCCTCCCAAGCCCCTCTACACATACCCTGAAAAGCCCCCTTTCCTTCTCTTGCCAGCAACACTATGCCTGTGCCCACTGCACCTGGCGTGGCAGGGACAAAGGGTAGAAGCCCTTGGCCCTGTATCCACACACCCATTTCACATCCCCAATTGCCATGGAAGGAAGAGAGAGCAACTCACAAGGAAAAGGGTTTCCCAGCATGGGGGGCAGGGGGCCCAAGTGCCTCCACACTGCTGCCTGTCTCTTGGACATCTCCCCTATCTAACCTCACTTCTAGGATCCCTGAGGAAAGAAAGGGTAGGCCTGCCGTACTGGGGAGGGCCCTCATCTGGCAAAGTTGAGAGCCTCTGTGCCCCAGGGGCTCTGGGAGGCGGCTCGTTGCCAGGAGCCCTCAGAGTCCAGACTTCTGTAGTCCTGGGATGAGAAGCAATAGCAGGATGAGAGAAGAACATTAGGAGACACTAAATCTGCCCTAGAAGTGCCAGTTGTTCAAGGGGACCAAGGAAGAGGAAGGGGGTTTGTCTGGGAGTGTCAGACTCGAGTGCTGTCCACTGTCTATGGGAGCAGCCCTGCTATGGCCAGCTTTGGGCTAGGCCTCCTGCTTCTGCTGCTGCTGACCACCCACCCTGGACCCTCAAAGGCTCAGCACTGGTCCCATGTCTGGTACCCTGGAGGAAAACGAGCCTCCAGCTCACCCCAGGACCCTCAGCATCCTCCTGGGCCCCCAGGTAGGTGAAGAATCTCCCCAGCCTAAGTGGAAAGAAGAAGGTGCTAGTTAGGGTTCTTTCACCTATCTCAAGCTTTGGGTGGGGGTGAGGAAGGCAGGCTACAGCCTCAGTTCCCTTCTAAGAAAAGGTTCTGGGAACTGCAGCTCAAAGCCCAGGCCAAATTGCCCATACCCTCCCAAGTGATGCTCTGGCTTCGCCTGAGGACAGTGTCCCCCTGAAGAAAAGGACCATGACCCAGTGGCTTCTACATAGGAAGCAGCACCTGGTGCAGACACTGCTGGTAAGTAAAGTGGAAGGCCCCCACCCTTGGCCACTACAGGGCCAGCTAAGAACTGAGGGGGTCGGGGGATAATACATCTCTTAGATGCCTCCTGGTACAGCTAGCTGTGGGTGCCGTTATCTGATACTCCAGAATTCTCGACAATGGTAAAGCGTCTGCCTACAATGCGGGAGACCCGGTTCGATCCCCGGGTCGGGAAGATCCCCTGGAGAAGGAAATGGCAACCCACTCCAGTACTCTTGCCTAGAAAATTCCATGGATGGAGGAGCCTGGTGGGCTACAGTCCATTGGGTCGCAAAGAGTCGGACACGACTGAGCGACTTTTCACTTTCACAACAATTTATGATGATAAGACAGCGACAATTTATGATGAGATGCCCCCTGTGTCCCTGCTGTTGGGCTTCCCTGATAGCTCAGCTGGTAAAGAATCCGTACGCCCAATGAGCTAGAAAACCCGCACGCTGAAGCCTCTAAGAGGCAAAGGGCAACGACAGGCGTCGCAAAACTACCGGTTGCCGATCCTGCGCAGAGAAGCCGAGCCGGGACGGGAGAGAGAAAGAGGGAATAGGAACAGGAGGAGCGGGGAAGAGGGGGCGGGTAAAGCCACAGTTCCGCGGTCAGGTGACCAGAACGTCCACTGGAATGACCGCCCCCTTCTGCAGACTGGACTCCGAGCGCCACGCCACGCCGCCCTCCAATAAAGGTGTGAGACCCCTGAAGTTCTTGCATCGAGTTCTCTTTTTTTCTCCTGACTGCTGCTAACAGATCTCTCTTTGTCTCCTCTCTCTCTCTCACACCCCTACTCCCTGCATGGGAGCTGGAGGGATGCGGGTGGCGGACACGCGGGCGGGAGTCGACCCCGCGGAGGACAATAGCCAGGTTCTGGGACTGGGACGGAAGCAAAACTGCGGGCTCTACAGGATGGGGGCGGAGCCCGCGGACTACACGTCCCGTGGTGCACCGCGACCACTTCCGGGCCCCCATGATGCCCTGCGGCGTGCCGGAGGCGGGGCGGTCTCGCCATGCTGCGCGCGCTGAGAACCCTGGGCGCGCGGCCCTTAGACCGCCCTCCAGCCCATTTTCTGCTTCTCGCGCGCGGCCGAAAAACCCGCCACGACCCGCCGGCCAAGTCCAAGATCGGGCGCGTGGCGACCCCGCCCGCCGTGGATCCTGCGGAATTCTTCGTGCTGACGGAGCGTTACCGGCAGTACCGCCAGACGGTGCGCGCCCTCAGGTATGTGTTGGATGGGGAGGCGGCGCCCTCTGGCGTGTGTTTTAGGGCGGGCAGTTGAAGACACTGCGGGCCCTGGGCGCGTTTCTATCCAGGCAGGAGTTCGTGACCGAGGTACGCAGGAAAGCGCACGAGGCCCGGGCTGGTGTCCTGGCAGAGCGCAAGGCGCTGCAGGATGCCGCTGAGCACCGCGAGCTGATGGCCTGGAACCAGGCGGAGAACCAGCGGCTGCATGAGCTGCGGTGAGTGGGGCAGGAGGCGGGGCGGGGCCGCCTGACCGGCCCTGAGACACCCAGCCACGCTCAGTCTGGGCCTCTCGCCCCTCCCAGGATGGCCAGGCTGCGGCAGGAGGCACGGGAGCAGGAGCGGCGGCAAGCGGAGGAGGCGGCCCGGGAAGCCCGAGAGGCGGAGGCCTGGGCCCAGCTCAAGGAGCGGGAAGTGCTGCAGCTGCAGGTGGGCCGCGTCTCCAGAGGGTGGGGCTGCTAGACCAGCGCGCGGTGAGCGGGGCGGGAGGTGCTGAGAGGAGACTAGCCTTGAGTCTTGAGAGAGGGAGTTCGCAGGTGAGGGTTTGGGAGAGGAGGCGTGCAGCGAGAGCGTCTCAAGTTGCCACTGCAGTATTCACGTGGCTAGACGGTGTCTGTGAGACGGGCCTCCGCGTTTCCCTAGGAGTTTATACTTTGTCCTGAAGGTGAGAACGTCATCGAAGCTTAAACGTTTTGGCGTGAGATGGCAGGTGTGAGACTTAAAAGCAGCGAGGCCTATTAGCAGTGATCCAGAGAGAATGGATGAGGCTTGATAGAGGGAGAAGGACCATTTGAGAGAGATTGAGAGACCTTGACAACTCTGAGAGACTGATTCCGCCCAGTGACGTGTCACAGCTGGGGTGCCTGGGTTTTGGCCTAAGTGTTCAGGGAATGATTGTCTTAAAACAAGGTGACAAAGCTGCCTAACGTTCTTCCACTGGAAGATCATTGGGGCGCTCAGAGAAGACCTGGGCTCCAGACATCTTTCCCACGGCAGAGCTGGAGCCCCTCCTTCAGTGGGCTAAAAGCCAGCAGGCTTGTTCTGGGGGCTCCCATTCAGCTGAATTTCTCATTTCCAGTTCATTTCATTTCAGTCGCTCAGTCGTGTCCAACTCTTTGCGACCCCGTGGACTGCAGTACACCAGGCTTCCCTGTCCCATCACTAACTCCTGAAGCTTACTCAAACTTATGTCCATAGAGTTGGTGATGCCATCCAACCATCTCATCCTCTGTCGTCCTCCCACCTACAATCATTCCCAGCATCACGGTCTTTTCATATGAGTCAGTTCTTTGCATCAGGTGGCCAAAGTATTGGAGTTTCAGCTTCAGCATCAGTCCTTCCAATGAATATTCAGGATTGATTTCCTTTAGGATGGACTGGTTGGATCTCCTTGCAGTCCAAGTGACTCTCAAGAGTCTTCTCCAATACCACAGTTCAAAAGCATCAATTCTTTGGCGCTCAGCTTTCTTTATAGTCCAAATCTCACATCCATACATGACTGCTGGAAAAATCATAGCTTTGACTAGACAGAGCTTTGCTGGCAAAGCAATGTCTCTGCTTTTTCATATGCTGTTTAGGTTGGTCATAACTTTTCTTCCAAGGAGCAAGTGTCTTTTAATTTCATGGCTGCAGTCACCATCTGCAGTGATTTTGGAGCCCAGAAAAATAAGTCAGCTACTGTTTTCCCATCTATTTCCCATGAAGTGATGGGACCAGATGCCATGATCTTAGTTTTCTGAATGCTGAGTTTTAAGCCAGCTTTTTCACTCTGCTCTTTCACTTTCATCTTTTCCAATAGGAGGACGCAAAAAACTTCATCACCCGAGAGAATCTGGAGGCACGGGTGGAAGAAGCTTTGGATTCCCCTAAGAGCTACAATTGGGCTATCACCAGAGAGGGGCTGGTGGTCAAGCCACAGCACAAGGGCTCCTGAGGTCCCAATGAGGACAATACCCACCCAGGGACCATGGAAGTAAAGGGGTTGGGTCTGATCTGAAATAAAGCAGTTGGTGTTTCTGATGAAGGAAAAGGTTCTACCTATTCCAGTGCAGCCTTCACTTTGCGGCCTCAGCTCCTGCCACTTGGTCAGAAACTCCACACATGCAGTGCTGTATTCTACACCCATGTGCAACTCTCAGTAAAGCACCAGACCTGAGAAGTTTCTGTCTCACAGAGAAGCTTAGTCCCCTCAACAGCCAGTTGTCTCCTGAGTATCCTCGGGATCAGTGGTTGGCATTTTGCAGTCCTTGGACAAAATCTGGCCTATTGCTTGTTTTTGTGAATAAAATATATTGAAACACAGAGATTTCCCTGGTGGTCCAGTAGTTAAGAATCTGCCTTCCAATGCAGAGGATGCAGGTTCATTCCCTGGTTGAGGAACTAAGATCAGGGCAACTGAGCCCCCACGCTGGGACTACTTAAGCCCCTGCACTCTAGAGCTCACATGCTACAACTAGAGAGTGCACTCCACAACCAAAGATCCTGCCTGCTGTAATGAGGAGAGTATGTTGGGACACAGCCACACCCATCACCGACTGCTCTCATACTACATGGCAGAGATGAATAGATGCAACAGAGACCTTATGACTTGCAAAGTCTAAAATGTTATGATTTTTTTAATTGAAATATAGTTAATTTGTTTCAGGTGTACAGCAAATGATGCAGTTTTATATATTTATACATACACACATCTTTTAGGTTCCTTTCCATCATAGGTTATTACAACATAATGAATATAGTTTCTGGTACTATACAGTGGGTCCTTGTTATCTATTTTATATGTAGTAGTGCGTATGTTTTAATCCCAAGCTCCTAATTTATCTCCCTTCCCCCCCATTATATGATTTTTTTTTTTCCCTGTATGTCAAACTTGCCCTACCAGGGGTTGAACCCATGCCACCTGCAGTGGAACCATGGAGTCTTAACCACTGGACACCTGGGGGAGTCTTATGTGACATTACGGAAGTTTGCTGACCCCTGAGAGGGGGCTTTCAGGCTCCAGTCAGGTTATCGCCCAATAGCTGGAACATAAACCACTGACCAAAGACCTGCTCCTGCTTGACGCTGCATTTTGCTGGCCAGGGAGTGGTGTGCCCAAGACAGAAGACAAGAAGACCCCGTTTGTCAAGTACTTGGAGCAAAATGATACTTGTGATTAGAGTCGACAAGGTTGAATAAGTGGGCATATAGGTCCACGGCCCTTACTCAGATCCAGGCCCTCAAAGGACATCCAGGATGAGGTAGAGAAATATTTCTCTGAACCAGAGCTGCTGCCCCTCTGCCACTATTCACCAAGAATCACCAGAGGGAAAAAACCATCTTTCCCTAACTCCCACATTGTAAATAGGGCCTGAGAACCTTACAGCACAAAAACCTTTGAGGGAATGTGGGTAATCGCTCACATTCAGGTAGGGAAATGGCTAACAGGTATAAGCAGAGGACCTAGGACCCAGCCCCATCAGGGCACTGCACCCTTGAGGGCAGTGGCCTCCCTCAGGCTGATCAATGGCTCTTCTCTTCCCTGGCACTGAGCCCAGGCACAGCATAGTGGGGCCCTGGATTTCAGGTGCTCAGTGCGACTTCTAGGGTGAGGGCTGGTGGGCACACATTGTGGACCAAGATTGTGCCCACAGCCTTGAACTTTGAGGAAACCTGTGGTAAACTTTCACATGGGACATTGAGCCTGTTGCGGGAAGTTCACTTTCATTTTGGACAAGTCCCTGGGCCTCTATCAGGATCCAGACAGGCCATCTATCTTCAGGTACAGGAGAGTGTCATACCTTCTTGAATCTGACTTTGGGCCATTTTTCCTTTACTAGTGTCCTGCATAGGGCTGTAATTCCTTATTATTCACTGCTGATGTCAGCATGTCATGCAGAAGCTACCTGTAAACCAAACTTGAACATTTTCTTCTCCACCCACAGCCATCTCATTGGTTTAGGTACAAATAGTTTAGTAACATGAGGGTTAACTCAGGCCCAGTCTCAACTGTACCTGCATCTAATGGATTGTAGAGTGCTGCTAGGTGCACAGGTAAGCTGTCACATCATACCCAGTCCACATTGCAGATACATGAGTCCCATGAAGAATGCCTAATCTCCAGTAGAATCCTGATAGGTAACCGAATGGGCAGTCTTGCTCAGAAACACCACGGGCTCCTCCGATTCTTGACTTCAAGCTGCAGATTCAGTTTGTATATGCTGCAGACAATGGGAGCTTGTATCACGTAGAGAACCTCTTGTTTGAGGCCCGACTTGTGAGCAGTAGATTCAAGGGCTACCCAGTAAATGCATTTGAAGCACAATACCCAAATGTAAACGCTTTCACCAAGATTTGAAGAGGCCTACAATGCAGTGTAGAGACGGTAGGGAACAAGTAGAACCTGTGTTTGACTTGGGAGAGGTATGCTGACCCCCAGAGCTTTGCTGAGTGAGCAATTTTTTCCCG